ATTTGAATATATCGGCCGAAAAGGAGGAGTTTGAAGGGAATTTACGTTGAAAGTCAAAATTAGAAGATATTTGTGTCTAAAAGATGTCATATGATGTGATGAACATTTAAAAAAATTGGAGGATTCAAGTAAATTGAATGTGATTTAAATTGGAGTGATCTATCATAAGGCTCATTTCAAAATATGTTATCATAAAACATAAGTTAACATGTAGTGATGGATCATAAGCCTCATTTCAAAATGTAGATACGTTATGAGATATGATAAATATCTGCATACAAAACAAAACAAACAAATAAACAAAAAAAATATAAATAAAAAATCATTGATTTAGAATATATTTTATATATTTGTCTATAATGTCTAATGCTTCATATGTTTCAATGATATTGCAACAAGCTAAAGGATGAAATTAAACATCTTAAAACATATTTTATATGTTAAATATTTATAAGTGTATAAGAATTAATATTATAAAAAGTTGATGTTGTGAAAGTAGTTTATGAGACGAAAATAACACGATTGCGCATGTTTATATTTTGCTTAATGTATAAATCATATTATATGGTCAAACAAGAGTGATGAATAATGCAAAAGTCCGATTGTTGCAATATTATCGGAAGTTCAGAACGGAAGAAGTATTATCAAGATCTTTAGCGAAACTGCTAGAACTAGAACAAATTCCATTTCTATTTTGATCTATTATAGATGTTCTGGGACACTAGGAAGTTATTAATCTACTAATACACCCGCTCAGAACAATCATATTGTTTCCATACACACGATCGTTTGTTTTGGACCTCGAAATTTTGTTTCCAATGACTTTCTTATTTCTTTTTACTTATACCTTCACCGAGTTGTATATATATTCTTCTAACCTAATAATTTCTTTAACTCTTCCATGATGTAGCAACATGCCAACATATATATTTATATATTTGAGAAAGTGATATCGCGACACTGGGGAGGATTATACTTCCCAAAGCATACCTTAAATATACTTCGTATATCCTTATTAGTAAACAATGGTAAGTGTCAGTTGGTGCTTTGTTTAAAAGATATGCAACAAGCCATAATATACGCAAAATCATTACTAGTGAAAAAAACCTAATTCAAAGAAGGAAAAAAAAAAGTTAGCCCTGTTCTCTGTTCACCTTATTTCCACTTATTTCAGGGTTAATAAGTTCAGATAAGGGTTAACAAGGCCTTGTTCTGTTCCCCTCATTTCCACTTATTTTAGGGTTACTAAGTTCAGATAAGATAAGTTCAGGAAAAATAAGTTCAGATAACTTCTGATAAGTTGTGATAAGGGTTAATCAGGGCCACCAAGTTTAATTTATAACTAAAATAAGTTCTATTGAAGGCTAATAAGTTCAGATAAATTTAGATAAGATCAGATAAGTAAAAATCAGGTGAATAGAACACACCCTAAGTTAAGATGCGAGTTAATAAGTTCAGATAAGTTGTAATAAGGATTAATCAGGGCTACCCAAGTTTAATTTATACCTAGAACAAGTTTTAATAAGGGCTAATTTAATAAGTTCAGATAAGCAAAATTCAGGTGAATAAAACGCATCTAGCTTGAAACATTTGGAAAAGCATTAAGAGACGAGGGGAGTATAAATGATGACACATATACGAGTATTACCGAATAATGAATTTAAGGTTGAAGAACAAGGTGGAATTGTAGTTATAGCCAAGCTAGGTAGGAGTGTTGATTAAAAATCCCAACAACTTGTAACCATGATTTCAAAACTTGGTACATTCCCTCTCACACGCGAAGTATATGGTATGACATAATTGGCAAATTGTAAATAATGTCGTCTAACAACACTTGATATTTCTCAATTCTCATGATTGATGATTCCTATCATTTCTCACCTAACACATGCTTCACGTAAACAAACTACAATGTGTTTGTGTTTTGTTGCAGGAATAAACGATGCAATTAGTAAAATGCACTTACCTTATGTATTCGTGCATGCATGTATCAATATGCAGACGATATATGTGATGATGATTAGTGTTTCTTTTAAAAATTTAATTTTTGTCTATTTTTTTATTAGGGTTTTGATCATCCATATATCTATTGGTCGTTTGGTATGTACATATATATTATTTCGGTATTATTACCATTATAATGACAATATATACCATAGGAAAACTAACTTGTAACATTTGATGGCACACTTCAATACTTCATAACACGTGTAAAGGAGACATGCATGGATGAATTGAAGTTGAAATAGTCTTAAGGTATAGCAATTGTTTGAGTTAAAAGTCCACCTATTTCGTTTGATAGAAATAATTAAATGCAAGGCTAGGGTTATATACTTCATGCATGGAGGAGGATTTAGATCTCTATGGTATAAACATTAAAGATTTAATTAGGATAAACCTAATTATCATTGAGTGTATAAATTTACAATCAATAGATAAAATTATTTTGATTCATTACCTAAATTGGTAATGATATTAGAGTTTATAATTATGAAATTAATTTGTACAAATTTAATTTTGGTGCCTCAAAGTTAGGACAAAGTTTTGCATGGCTTAATGTATGCATGAGCTTGTTTCTGTCGTAAAATGGGAGTATGAGCGTTCTTCAACAACTCAAGAATAATGATTTATTCCAATATAATTTTACGCACTACCAACCTAGTAATATATGTCTCCATTTACAATGGAATATTGAGAAAATATGACAATTAAGGGTCGGATGTGCTTATTATGACACAACATGACCAAAAAGCTCATCAAATACTGAATCATTGTCTTATGTTTTGTTGTATTAGTTTATCAATTGTAAAAATAAAAGGGAGAGTTCAATATCAACCGGGCCTAAAACTGAATAATAATTTAAGATTTAATTTTAATTTACTTATGTATTTTTTACTATATTTAAGTTCTTATGTACAGACATGCCAACACAAACCTCCCAAATTAATTATAATTATCCAATAACGTTTGAGACATAACCCTACACTAATACCAATTATTTAACTAAAGAACAGGTTATGATTGTGCGCAATATAGATGATTGTATGAATCAATGAATAGTTATATAACTAATATTCTTGTATCTCTTAAATCAAACATGATTAAAGTGTATCCTAATCTCGCAATCTTAGTATGGAATGTTAGTTCCCCATAATTTTATAGTTTAGTGACAGTTACTTCCGTTACATGGTGTACAAATCAATTGGACCAACTCAAGCACATACGACAAAATCTAGACATTAAAAAAATACAAAGCAAAGTAATATTATATGAATTTGATAATAATTTAATAAGCTTAATTGTGTTATAAATTCCTACAAAACGCGGATGTGTACGGTTGTCGATAGTGAATTATGGAGACCATGACATTGGCTTCCTTCCAACCACGCGATTTTGTAGAATAAGAAATTGGATCAATACTTGAATATTTTAAGTATAAATAAGCTATAAAATATTTGATAAAAGCATATTTTTGGAATCTCTTGTTTATTTCAACACTAAGTAACTAATGGATAATTCTCCTAAAAAAGGGAAAAACAAATAAAAAGGGCATAATATTTAAATGGATAAGAGGAAATTATGCTAAATTTGCCCATAAAAAAAAAAGGAAAGTGCTTTTGTAAAGAATTATTAACAAATATAGTACTTGATCAATCAATCTAGTTTTTGGTGTTTAAAGAGCCTTGAAATCGGGAGGGAAGCTCTAACCACTTGAGCTATCCCTCACTCTCATCAATGTAGTTCAATGTTACTCCATATCTTTATGTTTTTGTCACTAACCATTGAGTAAAATTGCGTACGTAGATTAAAAAAAATAAAATAAAAACTAATGCAAAGTATGTTGATAAACTTTATTTTTCCCCAAGTCATCCACATTTTAAATTAAAATTATTATAAACATGCTTTTTTATTAGATTTAATCTCACGACCTCAAGATTATAACACTACCATCTTAAAAAATAAAATATGAAATTTTAGATGTTATTCCTGAAAAGTAAAATTTTAACAAGTGAAGATTATTCAAAATTCTTTCTATTAAGTACAATCGATGTGCTAATCCATTAGAAAATTCCAAAGATAAGCGATATAGGAATAAGCGATATAATTTAAATGCTAGAGGTTCAATTCTTGTTAAACCCTTCAATTTTTTCAGCTAAAATTTGCAAGAAATGAATCAATGCTAAGAAAGAATAACCAAATGTTAGAAAACTTCGGATCACTCCTATAAACTATTACTTGTAAAGTCAAGAAAATCAAAGCCAAATAAAACATTCTTATTAAGTTACTCAAAATTTTCCATATATTTTGACATATTTTAATTATAACATATCATCAATATCAGAAAAGTTGCCCTTGAACTGCACGTAACCTCCAATTGAAATGGAAAATTGCTTTTAACGTATGCAATTGGGTTAACCATTTACTTATTATAGTAATAAACTAATAATTAACCTCATAAATAATTAAAATTTGCCACAATCATCCCAACAAATTGGCTTTAATCAATATTATATATCTATATCAATTCTAAACCACTTTTAATAAAGTATATTATTACTAATAGTGGATGTTTTTGTATATTAGCAAGTTTCCTTACCCCCATCCACAAATTAACCACCAATTAATAAGATTAATTAACATTAATCATATGTAATTATTTATGTCAAAACTACCATAATATATTTATTGGACCACAAAGGGGACCATAAACACATCTAGTACTTTGATTCATGTCCCACAACAATGATCCCAACATTATTTTCCAAATTAAACCAAGATTCATTCCCAATTTAAGTACATTCATCCTACTACTCTCAAATGAGACAGCCTGTTTTTTTTTATATTTAATTTATCAACTATCCCATAATTATTTTTAAAATATTCCTCTTTATATCTTTGTTTTTGTTCAAATAATTATTAACAACAAATTAAAAAATTCCACCCTTCATAAATATATTCATTATTATATTTTCATTCTATATGTATATATATATATACAAAACCCTTATCCTTTGCAACAAACAAAAACTTTTCAAAACCCTCAAATTTTTTTCTCAACAACAAAAAACTCAAATCTACTTCTCTCTCTAAAATAAACCATGACTCATATGTTCAAGAAACAAAATAGTAGTAGCATGTTAACCCAAACAACAACCGCAGGAGCCTTAGCCATGCATAGAGACTCACGTGTGATCACAAAAGTCCAACCCAAAATCAGAATCATCCATATATTTGCCCCTGAGATCATCAAAACCGACGTCGCGAATTTCCGGGAGCTCGTCCAACGCTTAACCGGAAAACCCGACGCCGGGGGCAGCAAAGGCAAAGGCAAAGGCAAAGAGAAAGGCAAAAAAGTCAAAGCACTCGAGGCGGCCGAGGCCGGACCAGGGTGCAACAACAACAAAGGGAGTAACAATATAAGCACAAAGTTGGAAGTAATGGTAGGAAGTGGATCATCTTCATCACCATCTTCATCATCTGATCAACAAAATCATAGTAATAATAATAATCAAGAAGCTTGGAGATTAAATGGAGGAGATCATATAATAAATTCATCTGGTGGGTATTTAACTGGATTTAGTGATTTAGATTATAGTTTTGATTTTAATAATTTGTTTCATTTGGGGGCTGCTGATGGTTCTTCTCATCTTAATTCTATTGCTGAAAATACTCCTCTTTCTTATAGAGGGTAAAATTGGAAACAAAATTTTTCAAAAAAAAAAAAAAAAAAAAAAGATTGACTTTTGAAAAAAAAAAAATTGACTGGTTTGCTTGTTGGGTTAAATATAATTACTGATTGGTGGGAAATTCCTAGTCGGGTTTATTTGATCTTATTTTATTTTATTTTTGTGGGATTAAGAGAGCGCGATTTGATTAACGTTGTCGGGTGAGAAGATTAGGAAGTTGATTGTGGTTTAATTGTCTGATTACTCAAGGTTTTTTTTGACAAATGGGTGGATTATGTAATTGTAATTGTAATTTTTTAGGGGATGAGGTTGTTAACTTGTTACTATTAACTTATGATTATTAATATTATTTGATTTTGGTCCCTCCAATATTATTGAGTCTATTGTAAATATATGTGAGGGATTTATAATTTGACATGATTGATGAAACTATATACATGAGAAATGCCTTTACCTATTGATTTTGATTTTATGATTATTTTTAATTTTAGTTTTATTTTCTCTATCTTTAATTTCTCTCTCTTGAAATAATAATGTTTGAGTATCACATGTCTAAGCCATGTTTATGATGGTGTCACAATTCACATGCAATAGAATAATGTGTACGTGCAATTGTTACTGTATAATTCAACAATTTTACAACAGAATTTGTGTTTGTTCATCATCACATGAGTTTTGGCTCTTAGCTTTCGTTTACATAGTAAAAATGTCAAAAGAATTAGGTTAAAAAAAAAGGGAAAATTCATGAATTTATTTCATTATGAGTTAAAATTAAAAATATCAAGAAAAGTAAAATATCATAATGTAGCATTACTCTTTTCCATTTTAGGGTTTGATAAACACATATTTGAAGGTGGGAAACGGAATCATTGAGCACCGATTTTGAGATGACAAATTTGGTAGTGTTTCTTAAAATCCGTGTCCGCGAATGTGAAGATAATGATTCTAACAATGTTGTGATTTTCATTTTCTAAATCATAATCGGCATAATTTGATTTTAGATAAAATTATTGATTCATAAATAATCAATAACATAAATATTGAGATAATCGACTGATCATATTAACCATTCATGATCGATGTTGTTCTAAATAATAGTTGTTAGGTATAGGGCAACAAAACTGGGGCAACACCAATTGTGAAACTTGTTGTGCCCTGTGACTAATCAGCAAAAGTATTGTTTGATTCACTTGTCTAACCACTTTCAAAACTCCTTAGGCCATGTACTTTGTACTTCCTGCTTACCAAAAACTTAATGATATAACCGTCAATATGTCTTTGATAATACATCGATTTATGTTGTGCTACTACTACTTTCTTTGTATGACAATTTTCTACCATGAAAAGAAATTAACACATATAATTGTAATACCTCTCATGATTGCTTTTAAAGGAGTTTAATATACTACTCATATTAATAAAATGCATCTTTCTTTTAAGGTTTGTTCCGATTTACTGAAAACAACTGAACCGAACTGAACTAAATAGAGTTAAAATGAATTGTTCAAGAGAGAAGAAAATTATGAACTGAACTGAAATTAAACTGAACAGGACAGACACTAACAAAACTCATATGTTAAGATACTTATCACTTAAGTGTGCTTAGCTGGGAGCAGTCTTATGATGGGTGACCTCCTGAGAAGTTTTTTCGAGGTGCTCATAAGTGAGCACAAAAATGTACGGAATGACTTGTTTTACTTTGTGAGGACAACAATTGGCCCTTAATATGCATTTCGTGACAATAGGCCTCTCCCGGGGTTGGGGTGTTACAATAATCCAATACACTACTAATTAGTACCCATATGAAAATTAACCAGTTTGAGAATATCAACCAGTTGTGCCATGCATGCACATAGAGATTATATGTCCTAGTCATTGTAAAATAGGGTTGCCTATATATCATGCACCAATCATTTAATTCAAATTTTAGGACAATAAGTAGTTGTTTACCTATAAACCACAAAAAAAATAAAATTAAAAAAAAGTACTAATCTGGTGTAGAGATATACTAAATTTTTTTCCAGATAACTAGAATCGATTATATATTTATATTATAATTATAATGAAATGTAAATTTCATTTAATAATCGTGCATGGAAGTAGTGAATTTACTCATGATCTATGTTTAACAACTTCAACTCCAACATGTCCGGATACTCCCTTCTTTATTAATAGTTCCTAACTGGAGAAGCACAATCTGCTCCTTAAGATTCCTAATTCTACACCTCAATTATTATATGAATGTTTTTTTTTTTTTTTTTTTTTTTTTTTTTTTTTTTTTTGTGTGTTTTTCTAGAGATAAGAAAAAGATGTTTTAAATGTACATTTTGCCAACTATAATGTTGTGCAAATAAAAAGCAACGCATTTTGTGAGCGGTTGGCCAAATACACAATGTGACTACTTGTAAAAGAACAAAGTAATTTGTATAACACTGACTGAGTAGTTCCTATAATACTGTCTAAATAACCCCTATAACAATGATCGAATAACCCTTATAACACCAACGAAATAGCCCATGTGACTCTGACCGAGTAATCCTTATAACACTGACAAAATAACCTCATGATGACCGATCACACGGTGTGACCATCCACATATAATTCTTGGTGAATAAAAAGAGGTTATTTTCTATTAAGATGGTAAAAAAAAATTGTTTTACAAATTTTGATTCACAACCAAATTAAGCTCTAGTAATTTCAAATAAAAAAATAAGTTTCAATAATTAATATTTATATAATTTTGAATTACTTGTATAAAAGATAAGTAAAATTTAGGTGGATAAAAATATCTCACATACTGTCACTATTATATATACAGGTTAGCATATCATGTTCTCAAACACTAATAAAGGGAATATATACATAAAGATGCATATTTCTTTTATCACATAATTTATTCAATTAGAAATATTGTTTGTGTGACTATAGTGTATACCGCATGATCATACCTGTATTAGCCTAAAATTGTGTTGCATAAGCTTAGTTTCTTCATCTAGTACATATCATAAGATTTGTTACACGCACTTTGCTTTTACTACCTCCATTTCATATTAATTACAATTTGGGTATTATTTATGAGATATAAAATATTTTAAACAAACAACTAATACGAAACGGAGGTTGTACAACAAGATAACAGGTCTTCCTTCTCTAAAAACAATTTTATTGACTGGTATAGTGGTATGTTGTAAATGCTAAACTCATTGGTGATTTAAAATCAAGAATATTTAATTTTAGACTAAAAATGAAATATTACCTAACAATGCAACCTAGGGAAATAGTATATACTTCAAATTATGCAATGTGAGATTACTTATTTGATTGTTTCTACAACTAGGTACTCAATTAGTGTATTAAGGGTCTGTTCTCTTACGTTGAAATTCAGTTCAGCTCAGTTCAGTTTAGTTCAGCTCAGTTCAGTTCAATTCAGCTCCTAATTTTCTTCTCTTATAAAATATTCATTTCAGTTGAATTCAGCTCAGTTCAGTTCAGTCCAGCTCAGTTCAGTTCAGCTCAGTTCAGTTCAGCTAAGTTCAGTCAACGAGAACAGACCCTAAATTTAGTTTTATGAACATCGTCAAATGTTCTTCTTATACTAATCAAATATGTACGTACACGTACTTGATTATTATCTTCTTGTTACATAAAATAAAATAAAATATATAAAATCCTTAGCTTATATCACAAGTTTGACGAAACTTTCACGTTGCAATTTCACTTTCATTTTCTGACATAATATTAGATAATCATTTTCCAATAATTATATGTAACTCATATCATCCTCATCTTCTCTTCTCTCTTTTAACTCATTCAGTCGGTTCTTCGGCGTCACATCAATGATGTAAACAAGCTAGATAAAACTTTTACTATTGTAGTTGAGTTAGTATTACATACTTCTAGATCATGGTACTCCATATCAATTATTATTGAATTATTTTGTCTAAATCTAATGTTATTTTGCTTAAATTTTGTTTTATTTTATTAAAATAATATATTATTTACTCATTTATTTCAACATGTATTAAAAAAAATGCAAGTATAACATAACATGTAATAATTTAAGATTAACATATATATAAAGTGAAATAATAAGAAATTCATATTAAAATAACATGAATTTTATAAGCCTAGTAGATTATAGTGAAATTATCGATGTTGAATATAAAATAATAGCATGTAAATAAATAAAATGTACTTATTTCAAAATAACATATATATAAATTAAAATAATAAGAAATTCACATCAAAATATGTAGTAACATAAATTTTATAAACCTAGAGCACCTTACGCATGGTATTCAAGACTAAATAGAATTGCGTTTTAGTTTTGTCCTATATTACGAAGTAATTGACAAATGGTATACAAGATTAAGATAGAATTGCGTTGTAGTTTTGTCTTATATTACGAAGTAATTGACAAATTTTGAGTTTTACTAAAACACTTTTTGACTAATTTTTATGTGTAAAGATAAAACATAGTTACGTGAGATTTTATCATAATCATCTTATTGTGTTGAAAAATCCATTGTAACCTATTTGTTAGTGTCTCACATTGGAGAAAGAGGAAAGTTAATTCCAATTTATAAGGCATAAGAATTATTGTCAATCGGTATTAGTATGGAATCTCCTTAGCCTTGTTTAATCTGTGAACCATTGTTCGGGTTGCCCAGACTCATTTCATATATTATCTCGAAATCTAACCCATTGAATATTTTATAATTAAATACTCATCTTTTTTTAATTTTACTTTAAAATAATTAGAAACATTAATCATTAAACATGTTTGTTGATATAAAGGAAACATATCAACTAAAAAAAATAGAGGATGTATATTTTCCAAATTTATGCTCAACATAAATATTATATGTAAAATACTACTATAATAATAATCCTTATTAGAGTTAATGCAAACAAGATATAAGAATTTATTTATTTATTTATTTTTAGGAAAGATGCATAGTCTTAACTCTTAAGGATTGAAGAATTTGTGAATATAATTTGCAAATACAACTCCTCTATTAATTAATCTTCATATAGGAAGATCAAAACGTCTATTTCACTTTGTCACATAAATTAATGTGCAATACGGCGTGCCTTATTGACAAAATGTGCATGTCAATTAGTTTATTAGTGTTTACTTTAGTTTTTCTTTCTTTATTCTTATTCTTTTTGACATAAGCATGCAAGGTTTGTGTGGAATAATAAGTATACACGTAGTATATACTCAAAAATCCCATTTAAGCATGCAAGGGTTGTGTGGAATAATAAGTATATATTATGACAATTATCCCATTTTTCCAACTTTTCTCAACGATCCTTCAAAACTTCTCTTTTATTTAACATACACTGCTTCATCTGATCATATTGAAACCCGTTACCTTAAAAGTAACAATAAATGAATGTATAAATTTTTCAAGACGACGTACTTTTCATTGTATCTATCCACATTGATATAAGGGTTTTTTTTATCTGTATATTACTATACGTATATGAAAGTGTAGTAAAAAAACGGATTAACAAAGAAAAGGCAAGATTAATTAGAATCTTGCAAGGGATTAAGAAAAAGGTTAAAGGGCTCCAATAAATAATACTCGTAATATAATAACTTAAAATTTATTGGCTACGTATGTCCATCTTATGCCACAATGCAATAGGCCATAACGCCATAGGGTCAAATATTCTATAATATTGTAATTAGTTGAGAAAGAAAGAGGCCAATCAATTTTAACTCAACTACATTCTGTTTATGATTAATTAATTGTTGATATTACTTATTTATTTATTTATTTTTGATAGGGATATTAATGTATTTTAAATCCACTTAATACATGAATTTATGACGTCCACTACTATGATTTTTTTAATGAAGAAAATAACAGTTTGCAGTTGGTTAGCAATTTAACAAATATTTTAATTAATTAAGTCAACTGCGATATCCAAAGTCAACTTTTAATACAAATTGCTATGTGGCAACTAACACAATCTGAGCTGTTAAGTGTTGACAAATTTCTAACTAAATTATTTTTGTTTCGGCTGAAAATTGAAATTCAAACCGCCCATTCCACCGTTTTAAAGGCAAATTTTATCCAACAGGCCTTATTTTTAATGAATTATTATGTATGTACAACGTATATCAAAGATAAATTTAGCCTCTTTTTTGAATAGCTCTTTTTGTTTCATTACTTATAAGTTTTTTCATCCAATAAATCAATAATATATTATTTAACATAATTTTACAACTATAACCTTTATATTAGTTGAATTGTACTCGTTATAAATAAGAGTATAATAGTACAAACATATGTAAAATCAATAATAAACAATCATTATATTAGGAGTTTGTGATAATTTTCGCATAGTTAAAATGTTTAAATATGTGACTATTACTTTGGAACAACTAGTTTTTTTTTTTTAAGGATTGTTGCATATAATACAAGCCGCACGTCAACTAATAGGTGGTTTATATAAGGATGTTGGTTTAACAAACAATGAACAAGGATGTTGGCTTAAGTTGCTACTTTCTTAATCCGGTTACTATTTTTAGCTATTGTTTATATATAGATTAGTTAGTTTAATGCATCTAAACGTAAGATCAAATAATCATGCCTAAGGCCATTGACTATATATTTTTAATTGTTGTTGTCAAACTAATCACTTAAACTAATTAGAGTTCAAAACAGTTTTGTTGAATCGTATTGAATTGAAATATAAGTAATAACTACCAAAGTCATATGATATATTATTGATCTAACTAAATTAATAGCAGCTAATAAGTTAATTAATTTGCCTAATCCACAATTTAAGTAATCATAACAAGACACTAATTTAGTAATTTATGCCTCATCCGTCTTAATTAAAGTACATAAAAGGCGTTTAAATAATGAAATAAAATAATAAAATGATAGCAAGTGATTAACTATGTAAGTAGGAAATTGGCATGAATTAGAGGTGTATTCTTCAGATTTTGGACCAAAAGTTAAAAAAAAATATAGAAGAATTTGATTTAATATATGATGCTAACTAAATTTTAAATCAGTGATTTCTTTTGTTTTCTTAACACATTTTTGCTTCTTCAAGATCATTAGAAGTTTATCAACACAACCTGTAATTTAGATAGTAACATAAGCGGCTATCTCTAAAGTTATGGCAAATTTTAAACCATGTTTAGTTTCGTCGTGAACTCAAAGTTGTGGTGTTGTTTTAGACCATCCTAGGCGCGCTGTACTTATATACCTTTACCAAGAGCAAACTAATTCATACTCGCTTAGGACACTTTGCTACCGGAAACTTATCTTCTAGTTGTCTTCGCCACAAAAACAATGCTGCTTCAATCCACTTGGGGTTCACCAGAAACTTACTCCCTCGGACAGCCCAAAGAGACTTCTCAGTGCCACCGTCTGTTGAAACAACATGGGTGACACTGGAGTCAAGCTCAGTCGAGCATGTAGCTCCTAACTCTTCTGCGATCTTCCACAAACGATGATTAGCAGCAACGAAATTCCTAGGAAAAACTGCACTAAATACTATCTTACAATCTCTGAGAACCTGTCTTTTATTTGTTTTAAGCACTTGCCTAGCATCTCTAACAGAGACATATTGAGGATTAATGTAGAAAAAGTCATGGTGTATCCTGGTAAGAACGCGCAGTATGGTTGCAAGTGCTCCATCAAACTCATCCTCATCTCTCTTCAATTGAGCAAGAGACTTGCAATTTTTGTAACCCAATTCACGAAAACCCGATGAAAAGTAAAAATATCTGTCCATTACTATCAGATTATCTTTGTTGCTCTGCCAAATAGCTTCTGTATCATCAAGAACTAAGCCTAATTTCTCTGGTACTTGTAAAACATTTAGTCCTTTTCGATCTTGGTTAGGGCAGTCATCTCGCGATATTATTCTTGTTTGAAAGTATTGATTTTCAGGATCAAGAAGCTTTGCCATCTCTAAGGCATAAGCGCGATCCCCCATCGTGTATATATACATCTCAAACATCTTATTCGCTTCTTGCAAAAACTTATGAACAAACGGCCTCAACTTCGTCATGACCCCTAATTTATCTAGTATAAACAAGTCATTATTCGGAGAATTTTGAGTCGTCCTAGTTTTCAAGTATTCCTCATCCAAATCTAGTTTATCTAATCGAGTTGAATTAAGCAATGTATGATCTAAATCAAGGACTAGATATAATTTCTTTTGATTCAACAACGAGCCAACTTTTGAATTATCGTGAACACGAAAATTAAAATTAACAGGGTTGTAATTAAAAGGCGCAAGCAACGTCTTACCACAAGATAAACAACAATTGTTCATCATATTTAGATGCAGACATGGATTCAACATGTAATTTGTTTTTTGTCTTTTGATCCTTTCGCCTCGATTATTAGTAATAACAAAATCTACAATAGGAGCGAAATTATTAAAACCTTGATTATTACCGAAAACATGATCAGAGATTGGAACAGGAAAACTCAAAATATGATCGTATTTTAGAGCAGAATGATTCATAATTTGGGTGGTCATTGTTGATTTATTTGCTTGCTTAAAATTTTTTGAGAAAAATCGCCAGAAAAGAAATAACAAACGTACAATACCAATAAACTTGTGTTATATAAAAGTGTTGGGAGCTAAATAATTAGGTTAATATAGGAAAAGAGATAGCCGACTTTCAACCGAACACGTTTTTTCTGCCAAAAAGAAGGAATTTAAGTGCAAGTACACAATAATTTGATTTCCTTTAGGATTAAGATATGTATAACTAATTAATTACTATCTTTATTTATTTTTTTATGTTAAAAAATATACTTGTATTTTTTTTTCAATATCTTGCTCAATAAGGATGAAATTAATGGAAAGTTTTGTTGGTTGGTATTATCTTTTCTCTATATTCTAGAGAGTATAAAAGAACTATGTCTATCTTGTTTTTTTTTTTTTATTAAAAATAATTATGTCTATCTAAATTGCCTTCTTTTTTTCTTTTCTTTTTTTTTTTGAAGACTCTATCTAAAATGCCTAAAATATGACCATATATAAAGATTAAAAAAAAGTCACACGCTAAACAAAAATACTACCCCGTAATGGTTATCTGCAATTTTGGAGTATTATTTGTGAGATATAAAGGGTTTGTTCACTTCAACTTAATTTCAGTTCTGTATAGTTCATTTCAGCTCCAATCAGTCAGTTAATCTCCAATTAGTTCATTTAGTTTAGCTCAGTAAATGTGAACAGGCCCAAAATATTGAAAATTTAATCAAGCTTGATTTTCAATCTCATTATTAACGAAAAATTTAATAAATTTGTAATCTAAATTGAAATAATGTAAAAATTAATTCAAGAAAATATGGAAAGAAGAAAATTGGAAACACTGACATTCAATAACTATTTTAGGATTTGACCATCACCTTAAAAGTTGTGTTGACAAATAAATTGATATAAATTTTTGATAAATTATGTTTGTAACTTATATTTGAAGTTATTAGGTAAAAAAAAAAAAAAAAAAAAAAAAAAAAAAAAAAAAAAGGTAATTTTATCAGATTAGTAGGGTTATACTGTAAAGTTAATTAAACATTTAAACCTATAAAATACGAGTACTCCATAAGGAAGGTGTTTCAGTGTTTGGTACCAAAGGTACTTTTTTTTCTTTTCTTTTTTTTGTTTTTGAGGGGAACCAAAGGTAACTATTCTGAAACAATAGTACTACTCCATACCAAACACTGATTTGGCTCCATTTTCAGTGTTTTAACTCTTTTTTTTTATATATATAAAAAAAAAAAAAAAATAGTACTCCGTACCGAACACTGAGTTGGCTCCATTTTTCAATTTTTTTTTTTTAATAAATAAAATAAAAATCCTTAATTTTTATGTCAGTGGTAACTCTTCTTCACTTTAAAGGTCAGTGTCAATTTTCTGAGGTCTGACAATCTAACTTGGGTATTACTACGGAGTAGCACTCAACTTTAGACCAAAATCAAAATCCAGCTCATAATAGACTTCGTAGTTGGATCTGATACTTAGACAACACATATCCAAGACCACAATTCAGGCTTGCCAAGAAACTTATTATAATTTCAGTTACATTAATGCTTAAAATGCAACTGCTGCTGGCATAATCCCCCATTATATACAGTATACAAAACTCTGATTGTATTCGACTATTTAGGGGAGAAGCTTGATCATGCAATCCTCTAATATTCATGCATCAGATATATTTCTATTTGAAAACAATTCAACCTTTTTTTCTAAGACATAGGAGCAAGAAACGGAGAGAGGAGTAATATGATGCTCTGCTAAAATATTGGCAATAAATTACTGCATATGACAGCATAACATTCATGAAATCTTAGCTTAGCTTTCGTACTCCAATGCAGGTTCATCCACTGAATAAGAGGATGAGTCCATCCTTGTCATAACTTCAGGTGCTCCAAAAGGATCCCTTATAATCTGCATCAATTGCAGATCATGGAGCAAAAGATCCCATCAATCATAAAAATATCATCAAATTGGTAAAGCTAAGAGTATTTAAACACGCTGACACACAGCTAAAACTGATTAAATAAAAATGCAGTAAAACTTTCTCACCCACTACAACCAAACCAAAGCTAATAAATCTTCAGAAAGCAACTTGATAAATTAAAAAGATTAATGATTTTTTAATAGTCAGTGAGTGTGTTGCAATTTTATTTTAATTAACTAGAATGTACCTGTGCTATCACATGGGACATATCCTCAAATGCCAATATTGATAGAATTTAGGGAGCGTTTGGTTCACATAATTAAGGTATAAGGTATGGGTTTAGAATGGTTTAAACACATACCTTATGTTTGTTTTATGATGTTAAGAGTTTCAAACCCATATCTCAAACCCCCAAGGCATGGGGTTTAGAAACCTTGGGGGGGGGGGGAGGGGAGGTGGGTTTAGCTCATTCTCATACTTTTAGGTATCTAATAAAAGAAAAAAATTGCATTCCATAAGCATACCAAACATATGGTATTAAGAATCAAGTTCCAAACCCATACCACTATGGTTTCATTCTTGATTCCAACCCCATACCAGTTTGCGAACCAAACGCCCCCTAAGGATTGGGGTTTATTAACAACCTGGTTAAATCTGACAATCTTATTTTAATTTTATAAAGTAATAACATATACAGCAATAGTCAGTGATAATGTCTCATACTCTCATGTATTCACTTTATCTTCCTTTTTCATCAAATTAAGGAAATACAAACCATTATGTCACACAAATTTCTAGTGATTTGATGACGCAAACAGCAAACCAGTAAACCAATCATGCAAAACATGCAAGTATTTTTGCAAGAGCCATTTGCATGCAAAACAGGACATGGAGTTATTCTCGAGGTATGTTTCAGCTTATATGCACATCAACTGTTGTTAAGCATTGTTTAAATTAAATGCCCCAAGATGATCAATAATGTATTTTTCACATCATCTTATGATAAATCAAAACCTGTTCAGACTTGAACTTATGAGTTATGACAAGCAATCATCACAGAAGCCTTTACCACTAGAGCTCGTTTTAGGAAGCACTATTTCTAAACAGTTAAGCTTGGTTTTGTAATAACAACAGAAGTAACGGCCATGCATTCCTATTGTGAAGTGTATATTATAAAAGTGTCACCTAAAGGATCATGGTTGATACAATTTATATCGGCCAATTATCAGCCCGTGTTATTGGGTATTGATTGTATTGGCTCTTTCCCTACAGTTATTCTTGTACAACAGTACTTAGTAATTGGGAAATATTGGCTTGGTAAGTTCATAAAGCCAAAATGTATCAACTGAATACCTGATGCATCAAATCTCAAAATATAGTGGATCAGGCTGTCTGGAAGATAGAAAATTTTTACCTCACTTAAGCATCACAAAGGAGAATAATTGAATCTTTCTTTCAACAAAAAAAAAATTAAAAAAAAAAAAAAAAAAAAAAAAAAGAGAATAATTGAATTCAACTGATGGGTAAAACATGATTAACTGAAGTATCAATAGCCTGGCATATTATCACCATATTATCAAGCACACAATAAGAAATCTTCATTCAAAGAGGAATTGAAGGACTACGTATATCCTATCACAATCCAAAGTTCCAAACCATAAATATATGATAAGTATAAATTTAGAGCTTACCAGTATCTCTTCATCTAGATATGAGATCATAAACATTCTCTGGAGGCTTCCACCTGAACCAATTACAAAATCAGAATCAACAAACAATCCTCATTGGTATATCACTACATGCAAACATCTCTAAAAATGGGAGATCATATTCGTTTAATCAAAACCCCCTATGTTTTCACTACCAAGCAGACAGCAGCAAGAGACCTTGATTCCCAGGTTAGCATAAGAGTCACTATAAATCATTAAGGTAAAACAGTGGGGGTGGGTGAGTGAGGGGGGGATGAAATTAAAATTGCAATCAATATAATGTTATTATGAGAGTAGCAAACCTTTGCCGCAAGAAACATCTCAATGACAAAACAGATTTCATTGACGTAACAGCAAGCCTTTCTATGATAAAAAAATCCATGTATATGATCATGCATTCATTCCTCTCCAACCACAAGGACCAAATGATAGCAATATATGCATTTTATCAGAAATACATATTGTTTTTCGTATCTCCAAATTCTAGAACCTCAATTTGAAATGCTCCAAAAATCTGGGGAAAAAAAATATCCAACACCTACTTTTCCAGAATCTTTTTTTTTTGAAAACGAATCATTTTAGTTACAAGGAAAGAAGCTGGAAATAAACCAAAAGGTTCTGTGTATCTCTCAGCTCCCTCAAGCTCAAGGAAAAATGATTTACACCAAGATACCTTCAATTTCTTTTATAATAAGTATTGAAAATATTATAAATATTCCTTTTATAATCTAAGTTTATGACAGAATTGACCAATAACAAGAAAAGACCAGAAAAGTAAAGTAGAAAAAGATCATTCTAATATAGTTTACACAAAGAATCACTTTAATATAGTTCACTTTGGTGCCTTTCTTTGAATCATTCTATGCTTAGTAGGCATTCCATTTTCACAAATGGGGATTCGATGCATGAATACAATCTCCTTCACGATTGTAATACTCTCCATATTCTTTAAACAATATTTTTTGTAATCGGAAAATTTTGACCTCCATCAGACAGAAATTAAATAATCATCAGAAAATAATCAATTAGGATATATGAATATAAGTATATACTTCCTCCATTCTTTTTTACTTGACTAGCTTTGACTTTTACACTATTCACTAGGGGTAAGCAAACCGGGTACCCGGTCAAAATTTTAGGACCCGCACTTGGAATTGGTTGGAATCGGGTCCTAAAATTCGGATCCAAATGGAATTGGTTCAACCGGGTCCTAAAAGTTAGGAATTGGTATTGGAACCAGGTACCGATTCCGGTTCCGGATACCCACTTATGTATGTAATTGTTAAAATAAAATACAAATTATAATTCTTATTTTAGTTAGGTTCATTTTTAGCGTTTAATACTTATATTTATGTAGGTATTAAGCTATTTGTATTTATGTTAGGTATTAATAATACTTTTTTAATTTACAAATTAGATACATTCAATATATTTTTATTATTTAAAATTTATTTAGTTTAGCAAAAATTAGGTAACCAGGTACCCAATCGGTTCCGGTTCCAAAAAGCTGAGAATTGGAATTGGAATTGGTTATAACCGGGTCCTTAATTATTACCCAGCATTGGAACCACCAGGTCCAATTCCGGTTTCGGATCCGCCGGTTCCAATTCCGGGTACCTGGAATTTTTGCTCACCCCTACTATTCACCACCCCTCCTTTGACCGACTTTTGTGAATAATAGGCAAGGAAAATTTATTCATGTGAGATTTTTTTAAATTTGTCTCAGTAAAGTACTATCACAATATATAACTTTTTATAATTTCGTATTATGGAAAATTAAAGTTATAGATCGTTAAAGTTTTACATTGGTAAGCGTGATAAAAGAATCTGGTCAAGTAAAAAAAAACGGAGGAAGTAACTAATACAAAAAGAAATGATCAAACTAGAGTAGATTAATTTACAGCACAACCTTTTTTTTGTATTAACTTTCCTCAATCCCTCACTCATATCTAAAAATGTAGCTTTGGTTCTTGAAAGTTCAGAACCCTTTTTTTTTTTTTTTTTTTTTTGTTAGGACATGCGCTTAAAACTGTCTAGTATAGAGGCCACTGTGAAGTGTCTAACTTTGGGAAGTGGGAACATCCTCTGCTTCTCCCTTAATCCCTTAATTAATAAGCCACATTACTATTTTCCATAGGCCAGTTTATACAGACTTTGTACTTAAATGTGGCTCGTTATCTGGGGACAGGGGGAGCATCAATGAAGTATTAGTTAGTAATGAACAAAAATTTTGGGCAGACATTAAAGGAAGAAGAAGATTGATTTCATTGATAACATGGGAATAAAAGAAATGTATATGTAATCAAAGCTTTTGAAAGGCTTGAATCTCTCCCAAATACAAGTATAATTAAATGAAACACTCAATGATATCTTTCATCAACTATCCTCTATATTATAGACTAACCAATATCCCTCGCATTGCTCAAGAGTCAAGAAACTCCTAACTGAATCATTATGACAGTTCCCTCCACCTATCCCCGATGCAACACAGTTCTCATAAGGTCACAAACAAGATATTGTTAAGATAACTTGCAATTGTTAAGTAAAATATATCCTTTTGATTTCAGAAGAAAAAAAGATAATTGATCTACTTACTTATTGGAATTCTGATACCGTTAGAAATTGCATCCCTAACAAGGACTGGAAGTTGTTGAACTGCACCAACAGCTTGCCCAAATGGACCTTTGAGCTGATCAGGGACAGTTTCTTCAACAACAGTAGGAGAGTCAAGGATGCCCTCCAAATATTCTTCTTTCATTCTGAGTGGCCCCTCGATAGATAATTTGGAGGATAAGGTGAATTTGCTTTCTACCTGCATCCAGGATGAACTAACATAAAATACTACACATGGCAAAGCAGGAAAAACTCAATTTATATAAATTTGGCTTTGAAAAACACGTAATTTTTCTAAGTGTCCCAAACAATACAATCTGAAACAATGTAAGTAATACTCTAATGTAGAACTTATCCAAGAAGTGTATCCAAACAACCAGAAGAGGTAAATCACCTATACTACACTCTTACAGTAATCCAAATCTTATGAATGTAATAACATGTAAGTTAGTTAACCATGCACTGTAATAACACAAGCCCAATGCCATAGCTACAATGATCCATTTACAAAAGTAGATACCTTCCCTGGTAATTGACAAGCAACTTTGATTTCATAATAATTTCTTCTGACAGTAACAGTGCCATATGTCCCTGAATCTACTTAAATATTTTCACAACTAGTAGCACCAAGAAACCATTGCATGTTAACAAGAGATACCTTCCCAGGGATTCATCCAGTTTTTTCGGGGGATGAGAGAGAGAGAGAGAGATCTTACTAATTCATTAATCTCATTTTACGGTAGGAAGTGCATTATTTATAACCATTTAAAAAAAAAAAATAATAATTCTAGAATCATAATTATAAGAAGAGGTCCCTAAATCATTGACTTCAACAAGTCTCCAATTCCTTCCCAATAAATTATAGACAAAAAGCTGGCACAGTGATCATATAGGTAGCATGAAAACAGCCAAGGTTTCTGAAATGCTTGAAGCAACTATTCCGGAAATATATATATATATATATATATAACAGGTAAATATTAAATTACTCATTCAGATGGATCAAATAAGACTCACCATCACTATGTTTTATGTTTTATATATTGATAGTAATTTAGAAAATTCTATCAAATTATGAACAGTGTCAAAATTCCAAATGGAAAGTACAAAAAAGAATGAAGAGAGTAGAATATCAAATTATGAACAGTGTCAAAATTCCAAATGGAAAGTCCCAATTTGATTATCAAGCATCCCTACTAAGTTTGTCCCAAATTGTCACACTTTGCCACGGACCCACTAGTATTTTATCTCCTTTTCCCAATGTCGAAAGTAAGTCTCACGCTTCTCATTTAATCTCTCATCACATTACTTTTCTACTAAAACATAATAGATTGGTCAACCATCTATCACTTAAACCTTTAAGCAAACCAACCATCTATGACGATTAAATTGAGATGGAGAAATAAATTGCCTTTATATCAAAAATACTTTACAAATTTATTTTGCCTAGTAGCTTGGATTGTGAGTTAGATTTAATTATTAAAGCAAACCTGCAGCCATCACCACTTAACCACTATAATTTTGCGAACCTAGAGTTAGTTTTTTAATAGAAAAAATAAATAGATGAATGAAGCTACATCTGCTTCTTAATCAAGCAATTATCTCTACTCAACAGAGAAAGACTGAAGATTTTGAGCACCACAGCAACCCACCAATCAACCTAAATAGTCCCACAACAATTGCAGCAGAGCCGGAAAGATTTGTGCAGATGCAGAATCTTTCTAGGGAGATGAGAAAGTAGAGTGGGAGAAGTTGGAGAGAGTTTGAGTAGTTTAAGGGAAACGGCTAGGATATCATTCATTATCAGTACCACGGAAAAGAGGCTAGTTAAAAATACAAGAACTTCCTTTTTTGTTGTTTTAAAAGCTGGAAATTGAATTTTAACAATAACTTCCTTTTTTTTGTTTTAAAAGCTGGAAATTGAGGCATGTGACTCAATCGCATTTTATGAATTCCCATATGGCAAAAAACATCTCCATATCCTAAGACCCAAATTGGAAACATTTCCTGGGAAAACGAGAAAACTCAAGTCCTTGCCATTTCCGTAATTCATTGGTGGGAGTGGCCTGAGTTATTGGAGATCTTGCAACAACAAAGAGTGCAGTGTTGAATAAAGGCGTCACCACAACTTGGACAGCTAGCGATGAGCATGTCAAAGCTCCCAAAACAACTGTTAAGATTTCTGATTTGTGGGAATATCGAATGCTGAAGCACAAGTACTAGCTATACATCACATTTCCAATAGATACTAACTTCAGCAGTTTTACAAACTACAGAAAAATTAAAATACTTGTATATTATCCAGTGGCTAACACTTCTAAAGACGCAGCATTTCTAGAGTGAAAGAGTCCACCCACTGAAGCTGATGGAAAGGCCAATCCATACTTTTACTGCAACACCCTTACCCACAATGAAAACATCAAAACATTAAGCCCGCACCTTTCAAGCAATCGCAAATTTTCCAACTGATAAACTTGTTACTGGGCAATCAATATGTTGCTTATAAGTCATTGTCATGTCATTTATTGAACAAGCACAGGGGTTTTTCATAAAACAAATGGTAGTTACATCATCCTATGGCATTATAGTACAGCTAAAGGTGGTAAATAAAGCATTATTTGAAAGGACATCAAATCTTAGTGTAACCACAGATAAAAGGTCAAAGTAGAGGCCAGAGGACATGTGAATAATTATGTTTTCTAAGTGAAAATATCTAGTAGCTATATTAAGAAATTTGAACGTTAGTTATGAAATAATAAGATAAAGTGAGAATAGTAATATTCAGCTCCGAGTTTCAAATTTATAATGCGAGAGAATTTTTTCAAAAATATTCAAATTACATGAAAGCAAGTCATAGTAAGAGGTTGTAGACTTGTAGTAGTCAAAGGGATAGAAAAAACATCAACGCATGTATAAACGATATTATTAACAGTTTAACACAGAAGTACAAACACTATTATACTATCTTCATTTCATAATGATTTACATATTCAACTTTAGTCCATTCCAAAATGGTCTCTAACATGTTGTTTTATTCTATTTTCGGCACACCACTTTTACTGTCTTACCCATAACACTTATACCTTTCCACTAGTGTTACCTTACTTTATTCACATTTTTTTTGCTGTCTCTTGCTCTCTCCTTTCCTTACACCATATTTGTGCAAATTGTTAATGTTAAGACCATTGTGAAACAAAAGGTAGTAACTTTATATTGAAACGCATAGAGATAGAGTAAAAGTCCTTAAGAAGGCATTACCGAGTTAAGTAGTCTCAAATTTGCTGTGACCTTTGAATAACTATCCTTTAACAATACATCCATTTTAGAGAGGTTTGCCAATGTGGTAGGAAATCTCCTGAGAAGATAAATTAGTCTTTATTTAGTCCATGAAAGCACTTCTTGTGCATCACCATAATCAGTTTTCAAATTGGTAAAACTGAAATACAGGAAAGGAGAGCAAAACAGAAAATGCATACTCCAAAAAGAATTGAGCAACAGCTGGAGTGCCAGACCCAAGCCACTCAAACTTCCATCTTCCTTCTAAATAGGGAGACCTGGAAAGCTGAATAAGACGAATAAATTTTTTGCTCCTGATAAAAGATTAGTAATCAAATCCAGTACATTTACCACCTACGTTGTGGGTCGAGGTGTTGGATTCAGACGCTCAAGAGCAGTTACCCTCTCCATGACATCTATTCGCTGCATCTCTGTGACCCTTCCTGTGAATAAAGCCTCAAAACCTCCTGCATCTTTAAGCTGCATAAACATCATATGACAAACTATTAGAATACACAAATGTCATATTTAAAATGAATAGATGGCAGGAGATCAATTGGGGCAAAGTTGGAAACTATCAGTAAAATGAATGGCAAACTAAATTAAATTGGCAACAAGCTTGTAATTTACATGCATTGCAATATCTAGCAGTCCAAATAAAAGGTCCTTCTGTTGTTGATTATACTTGAGGCCAAATGAGATAAAAACATTTATTGTCACCATTACAGATTAGAAAACTACATCAATGGGTTTCCCTTTACCAGTTCCAAGCCTGGATAAAGGAGGAGGGTTACGGTAGGCAAGTGACAGCCAATGTAAAACTTTGTCACATCGCTTGACATGAGCCACAATGATTGAGAATAGTACTAGGATGGGTGACCTATTGGGAAGTCCTCATATTGGTTCATGTAGCCGACTCCACGTATGGGATTAAGGCGTTCAAGAAGAAGAAAAAGAAGAAGATTACAGATTAGAAAAGAACAATCAGATTGATACCCTCGTTTGGTAATATTCACAAGCACTCCATCTAAAAATGTAATTTTGAAAACATTTTGAGGTTTATAGTCAAAGAACTTCTTACCTTAAAGCTCAAACTAACACGTTCAAAGTAGAATAGAGCGAGGATTACTTATCGTGAAACTCTGCCTCTTAATTACCATAGCAAAGTTTATACATGAGAGTAACTACCTCTTTTTCTTCACCTTAGCAAGATTATAATGAATCTGGAAGGTATAAGGAAGCTGAGTAATCATCGAAATTCATACATTAGTCTTATTCCCCCCTTTTTTTTTCCCCTTAGTATAGCTTGGTGATGGGATCCCTTCCCACCCAAAAAATTCTTCCTCTTCCAACAAAGGGGGCACCTCCATAGCCACTTTCTTTCTAAAATCAATGAACATCTCCATATATAAGATCAATGATTCTAATCCATGACACCAATGTTGATTTTCTCAAAAGTGTAACAAATTGAAGTCCATCAAAACTTCGATCCAATGGTATCACTCACTAATGTGCATAGATTAAGAATGAAATGCAAGATGAATCACACTCTAATTATCATACAGCTTAGCCAATATATCTCCTATTGAAGAAAATTTTCAACAATAGTAGTTATTTGCTACCATAGGTATTTTAAAAACAACAAAAACCTTGGAATCTTATATGTGATCCTGATAGAGCCACCAATCTCAATCCCTATTAAAGATGTCAAGATTTACACAATCTTTTAATTACGCTCAAACTATTAATAATTGGAGCATTAAGATTTTGAAATGGTTCTAGGATTTTATAATTTTTACATTCGTGTCAACATATGATCTTACTAATATGTCCATTCTATATGGTGTTTTACCCTTGTCCCTTGGTCATATTTTGGAGTATTTTTGCCTCTAAAGAGTCACTTTTATTACTAATATTCATTTTCTAGTGTTATATAGATTTGATACTGTTTTATAGGAAATTACAGATTTAATGCATTTTCCCGGACATAGATGAGTCATTACGAGCATTGGAGTAGGAGCGCGTTCATATGACCATGTTCCAAAGCCCAAGACCGAGTTGGAGTAATCAAACCGGTTATTAAGGGCTCGGCGAAGAAGAAGAAGAGTTTGAGGCATTGGACCGAGTCATAAAGACCCAAGGAGGAAATTCCGAATAAGGCCGGGGGAGGAAGAAAGAAGAGAAGCAACTCCGCTCCGAGGCGCGCTCGGTTGGGCGCGAGCGAAGGTTCTTCCAACAAAAAGGCGGGCCTGGCCAAGCGAGATGGCGCCCGACCGGACGCGTGCGTGTTTCTGAGGGGTGATTAGCGACTTTTTCACTTCGATTAGTCTTAGGATGTTCGGCTTCTGTATAAGTACGCTTTGTTAAGCGAGTTATTAGGACGTCTTTCATTAGTTAAATTCCAGATTTTTAGTTTTGATTAGTACTCTTGTTTTCTCAACACTTTTTGTTTACGCAATTCATTATTTTCGTTTATTTTGGTAACTATTTCTTTTCCTTTTATTTTCAGTAATTTAATTGTTTTGATTAATCATGTCTTGTTTATTTGCTTCGCTTAGTTTAGATTAAATATGTGTGAGTAGTTTTATTTCTAGGGTTTGTGAGGATTCATAAATAATATGAAGGGGTAATTTATTGTTGTTGATTTTCAATGCTTGATTAATTTCCTATTGATTTAATACTATGCAATTAGATTTTGCCAGGTTTATTTGTATGAGTTGTGCAATATTGATTCGAGATTCGAGAGATGTGAATTGATATTTAGGCTTAGTTTCAATAAACAGGTTAATTTATAAATGGTTCAAGATTCGTGAGATGCGATTTAATGTCGGTAGAATAATTGTGTGATTGTAATACGTAGCGAAAGCCCTTTATGATCTGATTAATTGATACATCGGTGATTGGTTATTGAGTTTTACCTCGCAATATTATTTATTAGCGAAAGCCCTAGGCTTTGATTTATTGATTTTTCCCTAGTTTAATTTGCTTTAGTTTAATTATTCTCCTTAGTTTAATTCCCCTAAAACTAATTTGGTTACTTGATAGTTTATATTATACTTCGTATTAATTAATTAGGAATAAAAAGACTCGTTTCCTTGTGGATTCGACCCTACTTCCCTATATGCTTTAGTTAGAGGACTTAGGTAATTCTTTTGATTAAGAGATAATACTTTATCCTATCACTTACGTATTCAAATTTTGTGCAATTAGTCACCCTAGCAAATTACATTCCCTACCTCAAGCCATTAACATCAAACACTCCACTAAATAGACTTCACTTAATCTAATCTCAGTTGGCCTTGCGCCCTAAGTTGTAAGTCATCTTCATAATTAGCCACAACTTTAAAAAGTAGAAAATTTTACTTAAACTAGAAACTAGATAAATTATCATCACAGTTTAAAAGTAGAGTAGGATTGAAGAATCCTACGATATTAACATTAAAATGATCCAAATTACCTTCCTCTAATTCTCTTTTGGATGCCCTATTTTAATAAGTCACGCTTTTCAATATATTACTTTAATCATTAATATATTAAATTATCAATAAGGAAAAATTATAAAAAGTTGATATTAGTATAATACATTGAGACGAATCTTACAAGATCCCACATAACTATGTTATTCTTAAGAATAAATCATCAAAAATAGTCAAAGTAGATTATGTGAATAGTTTAGAAGTTAAACAGATCATCCTAAAATGAAAAGAGGTAATATTATTCCTAGGGTCATTATAATATAAGACGTTCCTATAATATTTGGACATCCATACTACTCGATCAGTAAATCACAATGCAAGCTTTGGGAACATTTGGAATTCAAGTTTTAGAACATTATGTTTAAAAATCCTAGCATAATCTTTTTTAGAATCTTACAATCCTCAATTCACTGCCATGACCTTAATCTCGATAGAATCCTCAATTCAACACCAAAGCCTAAACTTTATATTCCTAAACGTTCAAAGTAGAACTTTTAACCCGAGTTCCCGACAACCTTTGTTTGCACACTTCCATTGTTACAATGACAAAGCAGCACATTTCTACCTGGACTACCAAGATACCAGCATACCACTTCCCAACAAATGAGAAAGTGAGGAGCCTACATCCCTGGCTCCCAACTAGACCTACATTTAGGCTACCACCTAGCATAGGCACATCTCTTACGTGCCACCGTGATACCTTAAGATCCATTGCATAGTTCATAGTGCTCCTTCCCGAAGAGAAAATGTCTCAAGACATCAAAAGCATAAACAATATGAAATTTGATCTTGTACATAAAATTCATAATGCATGTAGACGAGCCTTTCTTCACAATGTTTTCACTCGTGATGAAAAGGATTCTACACAAGGCATAAAGCCGCCTACTTGTAATCAAGCATATAACTCCAGCTTAAATCTCACAATTATGCTGTAAAAATTTACTTTATTCAAATTAAGAACAATGCTATGATCTAAGCAAGTGATTATTAAAAAGGGATAAAAATCCTGCAATAAACTGTAGAACAAGCAAGCTAGAGGGCATGAAGTTCTTAAAACCACTCAAGATCCCAAGTTGTGCAAGTAATATAATACAATAATAAACTCTGGTAACCCTCTTACTGAGACACCTAATCTATAGGTTATGAATGTTTAACTAAGACTACACAGTACACATATTGACTTTACTAATGAGACTGTGAGAGTATTATTCTCACATCCAATTACCGTATGTGGATACCTAGAGTTATTGTAGACACCCATTTGTGTCTCCCCAAAACCAAACCCGGTGATGAGTACCTTTCACGTCGAATCACAATCGAATGAAGTGAAAGTGTAGAAAGTCTAGTGTTGCGGATAGTTTTAATTTCTTCTCTTCTCTCCGTTTTTTAAAACTTATTTTAAGAAAACAGCCAATCCAGTTTGGTTGGTCCATGATATGGGTCCAATAATAGTGTAGTTGGATGGGGCTTGCAAAGACCTTTCCAACGATATATTATAAGCCCAATTCCGATGAATATGGAGGAAGTTATGGCCAATTTACCAAACTGGGCCCGGTTTGAGCCTTATATGCGGCCCAATGATCTAGGGGAGGGCCTAATATGATTTATCATTCCTAATGCAATTAGGAATGGTTTTAGTTTTCTAGATTCTTCTAGAAGGTTCTTTTCATTCCTAATTCAATTAGCATTGATAAATTGACTTTTGTTGACTTTTCAGAGTTTTAATTAAAATCAAAGAGCATTTTCGAGTAAAAGATACAATTTTATCCTCTAATACGGCAAACTTATCTGATTTTCGAAAACGCGTTAAAAACAGGTCTGGCGCCTGACTCCAGGCATTGGCGCTTGGAGCCAGGCGCCTGGTGCTAGCCATTGGCGCCTGGCGCCAGCTCTGTTTTGCGTGCGCCAGCTCTGTTTTACGTGCGCCAAGTGCTCTGTCTTGATATTTTATCTTTTTGGCTGATTTTCTCTATAAATAACGTATTAAAAACTCTGTTTTCATACACCTACAATCAGTTTTCATTCGCAATCATTAATTCTCTAATCCTCTCTTAATCATTCATCTTTCTTTCTTTTTCTAAACTTTGCTTTTAAATACAAAATTCCGCATTCACAAGATCTAGAAACACCTAGCCATATTCGAAGTTGCCTTCACCCTAGACGTGAAAGGTTTAATTTCTGAGGGTTTGGTCCCAAATCTCTATTTCAATTATTTAATTTAATTGTTTTGTTTATTGTTTTCCTTAAAGTTACTAACGTGTGTATTTTGTTATTAGAAAGAGATACGAGGCATCAAAGTAAGTACTTTAATGGTTTTAATTGATATTATGATGTAGAAATCATGTTTATATTGTTATTATGATATTCCTAGTATCATGTCTAGGGTAATTTTAATATTAAATATGATTGTTACGATGCTTCCTATGTTCTTCCTAATATTTATGATTGTTAGTATCGTGTTAGGGTTAAAGATTTGATTTTTATTGCTTAGTGACATGCTAGGGTTTGTTATTGATCTTGTTAGTATCATGTCTAGGATCTTGTTGTTATTATGCTTTAACATGAACATGATTATGATTATAATTGTTATAATTTATGATGATTATGAATATTATTATTATTATTATTATTTTGATGATGATTATTTATTTATGATGATTATTGTTATGATCATGATTATAATTATTATTATTGATTATTATTATGTTGCTTGATATTTATTGTTGTTGCTTGATATTTATTGTTATTGCTTGATCACACCTTTTATGCATATTTAAAGGGAATTGGTACTTGTAATCACGCTTAATAAGTTATTTAATAATCTTGTTTAGGGTTAATGTGATTATAATTCAAGTGATCGCCAATAATAGTTTATTTGTGCAATAATATTCAACCAACATAGATAAACAGGTTTAGGGTAATCCTATTGATTGCATGTTAATTAGAAAGCGCACACGAATACGATCAGAATAAAGTAGAGGCCTATTATTAGGGCAGGTTCAATCTCTTTTAGGTAGGATTTGTACCTTCATCCCCGAACCCTTATTTGGTTCCAGACCTTATGGAGTTGACGATCTCTTGGATCGTTAAGGCCTTCATCCTATGAACGGTTTACAAGTTCCTAAAACTTGTTGGCGACTCTTTTGCTCTATCTTCTTCCCTTTTGGACGCCACCGTACTTAAGTGTATGATCACAGTGGGGTTCAATCTAGGGGTTAACGCTTGAAATTTATTCCCCACAGTTATGTTATTCAATTATTGTAAGCCCCGGCCCCTGATTCTTCAGAGAAAAAAATTTAGACCATTGAGAAATCTGGTAAACTAGGTCTCATTTTTTTTTTTCCAGTCATCACTAAAGGGAGCTTTCAGCATAATAGCATTGTGTATCGTTACTTGATTGTTCTTTTGTCACTGTTGATAAATTTATTTCCCCAATTTAATCACACAAAAGAAAAGAGCACTAGTGTTTCCATTATTCATTTGAGGCCATTACCTAGCAAGGCAGTAAGCCAGCAAGCACATTTGGGGCACTCTTACTCTATCATTGATTCACTGCTCAAAAATAATCCAATGTATTCAACTAACTATTTTTCAAGACCCTAGCCCCTCCATTCCTCAAAGTTCTTCCCACTTTCCATTTAGGGCCGTTCATTATAGTTCCTCCCATTTTCGATTTGTCTCCATTTTTCCACAGCTCCACTCTCACACACACTACTTACGGTTCTACCAATTTTCTAACTCATCAATTCCATCCAACCAAAACTTAGAATACAGTAATCATATTACAATGAGCCAATATTAGAAAGACGGAGGGAGTGGATCATTAATCCCCTTGTTTGACCCACTTATTTTCACACACTACTTTCTATGAAAACAAAAAATAATCCATTTTTGCACTTTCTTTCATTCCTCATTTCCTTGGTAAGTACACCCTTGATCCACAACATCATACTCAACTTCCCAACTATGTTATCAAACCTAAATACTAATACATTTTATATAAATCACAAACCAACATAAATTATAATCTAATTTCAGCAAGAAATTCAAAAAATCAACAACACATTGAATCCAAATTAAATATTAGGTCAAAATAATTGAAAACAGTACATCAAGATAAACTCACAGCAAGTAAGAGCGATTCCTTAGCAGAAAGGCGTTCCATTTCTCTAGCATAAGCAGCAGAAGGACCTTGCACAGTCTGCTGAACCATCGCCCGACAAACATTCCCACCATTTTTAACCTTCTTCTGCTTCAGACGACTCCAATTGAAATTCCTCCCACTACTTCCCCGAAAAGAGGAGAGAGAAAGTAGACAGTAAGGACGAGAGGAAGAAGCGTCGCAATTTCGGAAGCCATTGAAGGTGAGAATCGAAGCTTGCAATGAGGAAGAAGAAGAAGAAGCAGCCATGAAAATTTTCTGTGGAAGAGAAATTAAGAATGTGGTTGAATTGAATTGCAAAAAATTAAGTAATAATTGTAATTGAAGAAGATGGAAGTTTGGTGAATTGAATTGAAGAGAAAAAGCCGTTAGTTTTTTTTGTAGAGAGAATTTGAGATTTATTCTCCTCTTGGTTTGTTTGCTGCTGTCAAATTGATTGTCACACTTAATTTGTGTAAGATGAGGCTTGGACGCTTCTTAGACCATTGTCTGTCCATCAATTATCGGAGTTGTTCTAGCCTAATTAAGGTCTCGGTTTTAATTTTGACTTTAGTCGAATTTGGATTAGTATGAGTGTAATTGGTTGGGAACTTGGGATACTCTTGAGAGGTTTTAGTAATTTTGGATTAGTAATAAAATTGTGTAATGAGCATGTGATACGTGTGTCGACAAATGGATTAGGATGATTACGTGCGCTACGCGCGTGCCATAATTAGTCATGTTAAAGGAACTCTTTCGGTTTAGACTTAGTTGTTGGTAACATTAATGAAAAAATATGTAAACAAATCTTTTTAGTGGTACATATGTCCGCAAACTATTTTTAAAAGTATTTTTAAAAAATGAAATAAACATTATTATTGAAGACAAATATGTCAATAAATGTTTTTAAAGATATATATGTCCAAACACTATTCATAAGAGGGTAAGAGTTATCTCAAACTTTTTAAATAGTAGGGATATAATGATATATTCACAAATTCTTGCCTCAAATGGTACAACCACTTTAACATTTAAGGTAATTAATAATAACTTAAATGTGAAGTTGAAGTATTAAAAGAATAAGTTGAATGTCAATAATTAAAAAGAACTTCACATTCATCCCCTACTAGGTTAGATTCCGTGTCATGCACGGTAATCTACAGTTACATATAATTATAGATTATTTATTGATAGATATTATAATCATAAATTAGTTGAGTAATAATAAAAGTATATGACATGTTGATTTTTTAGTTGTACCTTCTAATGCACACAATAAGATCAATAACACAACTAAAACAAAAGTAGGCAAAAAAAAATTGAGCAATATTTTTCTGTTGTAAAGTAGGTCACAAAATATTTTAAGAATATGATTTTTGGTTTATAGTTGTCCAATTTTTTTTAGAAAGATTTGTGAAATCTTTTTATTTTAAATATAATAATTACTACGTATTAATATGGAACGTGCATATAAAATAATATTATTTTTTTTGATAAATTGTTACCTTAAATTATAGATTTAAAAAAATAATACAAAAAAATCACTAAGAACACACCAGGAGATGACACGTGTCATTACTGGTGTGTCTTTTAGTATATAGTTATTGATTGATTGATTGATTATTGATGATTACTTAATAATTAATTAAGTAAACTTAATAACATATATATATATATATAATCCTTACATTTTTAAAAGTATGAGTGAACTGTCACAGTTTTTATGAATAGTGTTGAGACGATTATATCCCTATAATGTATATTTACATATTTGCCCTCATTAATGCTACTTGTTTTTTTTCTTTTTTGAAATCTTAAGAATATTGTGTGGAGATTTATACCCCTAAAATTTTTTGTTTGTAGTATATCTTCCCTCGTTAAATGCTACAAGCAACTAAAATTATAAAATAATGCTAAATCTAAATAACTTCCCAGATATGGTTAAATATGACGCGCGCATCACTCGAGTCGCCCTAATAATTAAATAAAGTTAAGTAATTTTTTATTTACAATTAATGAAATTATGAACATATTTTGTTGGAAAATTTTGGATTTTTTACAATTTCATATGTGGCTAGTCACCCTCGTGTGCCCAAGATTACTTAATCGGTTAGAGGTTACTTCATCAGGGACTCAGTCGGCCGGGTCACTCGGTCGGGGTCACTCGGTCGGTCGGGGTCACTCGGTTAGTTAGGGGTTACTCGATCGGGATTACTCGGTTGGTTAGGGGTTACTCGGTCGGGGTTTACTCGGTTGGTTAGGGGTTACGTACTCTATCAGGGTTTATTCAGTCGGTTAAGAGTTACCCGGTTAGTGTTCTGGTGTGTTTCAGTCAGTGATCAACCACACAGAAAGCGTGTTGTTATTTCTATTATGACAACCTTTTATTCATTCTTTATCATATACAACCTTACTTTGTGGAGTCCAATTATATACTCCCTCCGTTTTATAATTAGAAGCCTATTTCTAGCATTTATTATTCACATAATAAGGAGAAATAGGCTTCTAATTATGAAACATAGGGAGTATAATAAAACTCATACTACTCTCTATCTCTCTTCTCTTTAAAACAAAAGTACTCACATGCATGGTCCCCTTTTATTTTTCACTTTTTCTTAGTTTGCCAAGCTACAATAACAGAGTAACATTTAGGAAAACCAAGGTAGTGTAATGTCTATAATTATTAAAATTTTGGAAATAACATTTTATATAGTTGAAAAATTGCCAAAAAAAAACTGAAAATATCGAATTTTCTAATGTTCTGTAAAAAAAATTTTTAAAAAAATTATTAATATAAAAACAAAAACAAATATATATTTGTACCTAAACGTTTCTTTAAATGACACTTTATGAATAAAAAATAAATAAAAAAAAAAACTTAAAGACTTGGGCTCTGTTCACCTCACTTTATTTTTGTTGAGCTGAAATTATTTTTACTAAATTGAAATTATTTTTGCTGGACTTAATTTTTTATTATTTTTACTAAATTGAAATTATTTTTGCTGGAATTTTTTTTTTTTATTGAATTAAAGTATTTCTTAATCTCTCTCTCCCTCCTCCTTATAAGAATCCATTAAAAAAAATTTCTTTTCAAATTCTTGAATATACCCTACTTGAATAAACAATAATGCATTTAACCTTTGCTTTTAAAACTACGTGAAAGTCAAAGCTAATTACTTATTTAAAAAATTAGGGAGTGCTCTTGAATTAAGGTGTGTGATTACCTTTGTTATATTTTCATAAGAATCTATTGTGATTATAAGAACTACTTCTGTGTTGTTTGATTCAATATGTTTGATGACTATTAGAGTATTAGTTTCGAGTAATGTGATGTATATTAAATGCATTTTGAATGCATTTTGATAATTGTGGCATAGTGGTTAAGCGTTGTTATTTTTGAACAAAAGGTTGGGACCAAACCTTGATCTCCCTAATATTTTGGCCCATGATCCGCCACGGTCTCTCTTAACCCCTAATTCCCTATGTTATATTGGTTGTGAACTTGTGAGCTTGACTTGCTTGATCACTAATTGGATGCTAAGCAGGATCTAATGAATGAGGTCATATTACAAGGATTGTCTCTCTTAAAACCGGCATTGAATTCTTGTCATTAAATCAAAGTGATCACCTAAATTTAGCATTTATGTGATTAAAAGCACTTTCAAAACCACCTAGAATCATTTCTTTAATTAAGGACTCAAAAGTTGAATCCAATCATAATTCATAAGAATAGACAAGAATGTGTCATTGTCGAGTTCTGTAAATCGAGTACCACAGACCCCATCGATCTTTAATTCTTAGACCGATGCAAATGAGTCATGTGAATTTCCATGTGGCCTTAAAATTAACCACTCTGGGGTGACTCTTCAAATAACAAAATCGTGCTCCTTAGTATGAATTGCACTTATTTTAAAGTCTACATATGTTTTTCAAGGACTGTGCACCCTCCACACACGACTCCTTTGTAAATCGAACCAGATTGTTAATCAAGTTGTCGTTGTGTGACGTTGCGTATACTCAAATAAGGCATATGACCTTTCACATCCAGGCTCATGAAATCAACAACCTACAACAAAGAAGCCAGATGCAAACGGCAGAGCCCATAAGGTTAAAAAAAAAAAAAAAAAAAAAAAAAAAACAGTCCGCTACTACGTACACAACTTCATTAGACCATATAATAAAGTCTAGCTAAAAATAAGACTACTTAAGCTTTTCAAAGTTTACTCAAAATATAGAAATATACGAAAACGGTGAGGTGAAGACTCAATAATGCACTAATCTAGGAGCATAACTTCATTTAATCAGTGGCGGATCTTGGGCTATCCCTTAACTTTTTGTTCAAAAATAACATACTCAACCAGTCAACCACTTTGCCATAACATTTTATATGTAATAAATAAACATCAAATTACTTATGATGAACAACTCCAATATATTTAGGGGGGCCTAGCCCTTGCCAGCCCAAACAAAGGTCCGCCCCTAATTCATTAGTTAACAAAATAGGGAGAATAGAATATTGTGAAACATTTAATAAAACTCCAGAACCTAAGTATGTCTAAAGATGAATTCATGTAATTGAAAGTTAAAGTGGAAATTAGCGATGACATTCAATTAAACAAAATTGGTGACATGCTCCAGGAGCTTATGTTATACTAGTTTTTGTACAGACTATCATTTGATTTTAAGCCTGAAAAAAATTTCCTAGATTTTCTCATGCAGGTTGTCTTTAAGTATGCATATTATACAGGTTCAATAAGTAGCACTGAAACCAGCATGAACAGCCAAAGAATGAAAGTCCTTCAGATTTGGCTTAAGCCAAGCCCGCGTATTACTAATACTCCCATTCAGACTCAGCAGGTCCTTCAGGTTGTCTGCTGCAGAATGTTGAATTTGGATGGACCAGAAGTATCAACAAATCCTTGCACCGACAGCTCAGGTATCGACAGACTCATCTCTTGATTCAGCAAGTTGTGGTCTAAATAGATGACAACCACAGTTATATCATCATGATATTTTCTTCTTTCCCCCTTTTCCACATTCCTCAGTTCTTCATCTTTCAAGTTCATCTTTCTTGCAACCCTCTTCAGTGTTTTCTGGACAAGTCTTTTTGCAATCCCCTGAATGTCAGAGAGTGAATTATGAGGATGAGTACAGTTAAATGGCAAAGATGAAATAATTCATGCTAGATGCAGCTAATAAAGGATTTAAGGATGCACACAGCTCGAGGACTATTGTGAACAAACTCGACAGCTTCATCATTAGTGAAGTGCTCCCAGAGACCATCTGAGGCAAATATCAGAAACTGGTCATTAGGTTTTAGAGTTCTGGTGTGAACTGAAGGTTCAGCTGTTAGCACAGGACGGCGAATAGGTTCAGCAAAGTGAAATCGCGGAAATGAGGGATCAAGAGCAAGTTCTGGACTCTTCAAGTATGCATCTCCAATGGATCTAGAGACCTATATATCAATAAATCATACAAAATATTGTCAATTATAATGTAATAAGATGGTCCCAAATAATTGATCAATAATGAAAATGATAAGGACCAGAGTGAATAACTTTCCTGTTTTAGAAAACCACTTTAACCCATATAAAAAATATGTTGAGTAATTCTAGATGATCATTTAGATAGCTATAAATGATGCACATAAAGACAATGTCCACATGCAAGGAGAACCTTAGAATAGAATTAATACTCCCCCTCCTTAGACAAGAATGCACTTAATTCATAACCTATCAATTGCTTTTTGTTAATAGACATGGCAAACTAACTAAAAATCCTTATGAAAATTCTACAGAGTAATTATCTAACATAACTCTCATCGGCTATGATGAGTAAAACCAAATTTGAATTATCATCTGAACTAGAGATAACGAGGCAGCTCAATATTAAAGTATACTCTGGAAATCTTAAATTACATCCAATCCTAATACTAAAAACTTGGGTTATTTAGGAACTGATCATTAATTTATAACACATTTAATGAATTTTCACCTCGGGTTAAACACTGGTAGAAAGTGGGGAGCAGTACTACTCCTAAACAATGGAGCCTAATACAGTGGACCTAACACAGTTAACTCTCAAACATACTTCCTTCATATCCCCAAGTTATCAACTGACTAACCCAAGTTATCAACTGACTAACCCAAGAAACACTAGGAAAACCTATGCATCTGCCAAGTATAACATTAATATTAGGCATCCACATGTGTAATTCAAAATCAAATGAGAGAACGGAATTAGCATGAAATTCGGACAACGATCACCATGATGTGCAGCCCTAGAGGCCGTTTAGATATAGCATCACCAAAGTATAGAAATAAAGAACTGAACATCTCATACTTCAGATTAGCAAACAAACCCCTTTACCAAACAGAGAGATAAATGTGGAGATGGAAAAAAGTCAAATGCAAAGAAAAGATACACATTGGTAAACCTGAATAATGCCTTTGATTCGCCAAACCCCTTGCTTCTGAACTAAGATGGATGCATCATCAGGATGTGTAGACATAAGTTCTTCTCTAACTTCTGACATAGAAGCATTATGCTCCCTAGTCAACTGCTCCGCAACAATCTTATTTGATCGACCTAAAGTACCCATTACAGCTCGTGAATCACCCAGATTAGCAACATATAATGTCCCGTTCCAGATAAGACCAACTAGACAGCAAGATCCAATCGCAGCAATCAAGGGCTTCAATTTGTAAGTCCGGGAGACAAGAGTAAGAAATCCATCCTCTGTTGCAGAAAGAGCATTCCTGATGACATCTTCTGAAATGGTTTTGCTGTCTTGAGCATGTTCTGCACAATATTAACAAACATTCTGGATGCATTAGAACAAAATTCAATTTAGTCACGATAGCAGAATACGACACAAATTAAACTCGGTTGATAAGACCAAACATTTGAAAACTGAATGACAGGATAAAAAAAATACACACACCATACAATTTAGTTGTATTAGCTAAACTTCCATCTTCTACTTAACCAGTCAACCCTAGTAGGCTCTATATGTTATTCAAAACCTCAGATGATTACAACCCCCAACCATCATTTTCGCCCCAACTTTCAAAAACAAATATTTATAAAGGAAAAAAAATAATCAACATCATTAGATGTTGTTCAAGTGTCAATTACACCGTCCAAACAAGCTAACTATTTGCTCTCTAAGAAAAAGACGAAGATGATGTACAAAAACAGTCAAATAAAATTTTCACCAACCAACTAAATTAAACAAGAAGCTATTCCAAGACCGAGACTCTTAACTCAGACTCTACCACGTCAGCTTTCCACTAAAGTTAAATTATTTTTTAATTATAAGACTCATACCAGACTTTGGGCCTGTTCACATTTACTGAACTGAGCTGAACTGAACTGAACTGATTGGAGCTGAACTGAACTGAATTGAACTGAATTGAACTGAATTGAAGTAAGCTGAAATGAATATTTTATGAGAGAGGAAAATTAAGAGTTGAACTGAACTGAACTGATTGGAGCTGAACTGAACTGAATTGAACTAAATTGATTAGAGCTGAACTGAACTGAACTGAAAATAAGTAAATATGAACAGGCCCTTTCTCTACTTTTAACACATTATTCCAAGACTCACTCCAGATTCACTATTTACATATCTATTTCTTTTATAAAAAGCAACAACTTTTTTGAGCTGATGAGTTGACAGCTCTTTATTGGCCAACAAAAATCAGATTGCTTTTTGTAAATTTGTAGAGTCTTAAGATGAGTTTTTTGCACCACTTTATTGCAAATATTATATAGTCTTGTACGTGAGTCTTGAGTTTAGACTCTACTCAAGACTCACCAATAAACTCACCCTAAATTTCTAATAACAAACAAATTCACTATCTCAAAAAATCATCAATCTTACATACTACTAAAAGTGAATCTGAAGGAACACATGGCAACATATTATTAAAAAAATTCCCACCAAAATTACTTTCTAAAAAAATAATTATTATATAAAAATAAAGATTGCGTTTAGATTATGACTTTTTTTTATATAAAATCTAAAATAAACTTCCTAAAATATCAACTTGCACATTATAATTTATAAGTATAAATATTTTCTCTCACATGTTTTAATATATTTCATGCACTTTAATACCTGATGAATCGATTCATTAATTTTTATATAATTATATTATTATCATAATTATTCAACAACCGGCAAATGCACGGGGTTTAACCAAGTAAATAAATAAATAAAAATAAAAGCAGTAGAACCCATCACGCAAAAATAGACCACACGTCACAGGGTGTCCTTTACCAATAATAAACTTGTCAAAACAGATACACAAACAATCAGCCAAAATTAGCAATAAATTCCAACCCAGAAAACCCAATTAAAAAAAAAAAAACACATGATATAATACATACAAGTATATTATTGCAACATAAATCCCAGAAAACATAACCAGAACTTCAAACCACAAAAACCCCAGAAAAATTACATCCCAAAAACTCAATAATACCATGCAAAATCAAAAACCCACATCATAAATTGTCAATTAAACACAAATCACCAATACCCACATGAAATTTCTCAAAAAAAAAAACATTAAATTACAAATTAATGAGAAATAAAAAGATGAAAAACTAACTGATGAGATGAAAAAAGAGATGATCAGATATAAAACGAGCAGCTTCAGGTCCACCATGACCATCATAAACACCAACAAAAGTAGCACTACGACCAGTTTCAACTTGACTACGATCTTCAAGAACTTCATTAGCCTGAAAAACAGCAAAAGAAAATTCACCCAGAAAATGCTTCTCCAAATCTCTTGACCAAAGTAAAGGATGATGATCACAAACAGATTTTCCTCCTCCCCCACTAGAACTACTGCCGGAGTAATCATCACTGTCGTAGTTGCAATGGTTATTGCTATTGTTTTTACTATTACTATTACTATTATCTCTGTTCATTCGGACATATCGTCGAACAGGTCGCCAGCATGATGAAGCAGTTTTTTTTACCCCTGAAAACATCCCTCATTTCCCTAAAAACAATACCCTTTTATTGAAATTTTTTGGGTTTTTTTTATAAAAATTAAATTCAGACGAGAAGAATGGTTTTTTTTTTTTGGGGGGGGTGTTTTTTTTTTAAAAAAAAAAAAAAAAAAAATCAGACAAGAAGAATGGGGTTTTTTGAAGAAGAAGAGAGGAGGGAGGAAGTGTTTTAAAGAAGTTGATAAAATAAAAAAAATTGGAGGAAAAATTATTTAATTGGTTGACTGATTTTGGTAAATTAGAAAAAAAGTTATGAATGGAAGGTCAACCTCTATTCTAGAGGAAAGATTTGTTTGAAAGAAAAATAAAATGTTTTATTTTAAGAAATTGAAACATTTTTTGTCACGGAAAATAGGGCAGATGCTGAGGTGGTATTGACTGGATTTGGTGAGTTGTTAGTCTAACTGATACTTGCACAGCTGTACTCAAAACACTAGTACAGATCCCTAGTAACTCCTACTCCTAATAATAATGGCTATCTTATTTTTTAAATTAATAAAAGCTACTCGTACTTTTTTTTTTTTTGAAAGCAAGCTACTCCGTACTTGGTAACAAACGCTTTGGCAACATTGAATAAGAGAACTAAAAATTATTATTCAGGTAAATGGGTAAAATAAATAATATGTGTGATTTTGGCGCATTTCAAAATTAGGTTATATATTAACTAACTATCTAATGATCGACTTGATCATTAGCAAAATCCTAATAAATTAAAACTAGTTTGTGGCTTGAGTGTTACATTGGATTGCTAGTTTAAAATATACTCCGTAATGTTAGTAAAAAAGAAGATTAGGTTCTGTTCAGTTCACCTTATAAAAAAATAATTTTCAATAAAAATAAGTCTAGTTCAGTAATTTCAGTTCAATAAAAATAATTTCAATTTAGTTAAAATAATGTCAGTTAAATAAAAATCAGTAACTCTAAAGAAGAAATATAATAGAGAATCAGTAAAAATAATTTCAATTCAGCAAAATTAATTTTTCAGTTCAGTAAAAAATAATTTCAATCAGTAAAAATAATATAAGTTTAGCAAAAATAATTTCAATTCATTAAAATTAATTTTAGTCCAACAAAAATAAGGTGAAGTGAACGGGGCCTTAGGGCCTGTTCACATTTACTTAATTTATGTTCAGTTCAGTTCAGCTCCAATCAGTTCAGTTCAGTTCAGCTCCAATCAGTTCAGTTCAGCTCCAATTAGTTCAGTTCAGCTCCAATCAGTTTAGTTCAATTCAGTTTAGCTCAGCTCCAATCAGTTCAGTTCAGCTCTTAATTTCCCTCTCTCATAAAATATTCATTTAAGCTCATTTTAGTTCAGTTTAGCGCAGTTCAGTAAATGTGAACAACCCCTTAAAAAGAATAACTTTCCACTGTCTTGGAATTGATAAGGTTATTCTTTTCTATATTCATTTTTTCCAAGCTATACACACACACACACACATAATCCTTTTTTGTACTTAATAATGTACAAAATATTTAGGGTCTGTTCACATTTACTGAACTGAACTGAACTGAACTGATTGGAGCTGAACCGCCATTGTTATTAAAATCCCGATTTAAATCTTAGAATCTTACGATTTCACGATTCATGTATATCATACGATTTAATTTACAATTCTATTCGATTTTACATATTTTTTAGAACTAGCGAAATCCTTACAAGTAAAAACATGTTTATATAGGTTTTTATAAATATATACTATCAAGTATTGATTGCTTAATGGTTAAATAACTAATATCTATCAATAATTAGGTTTCAAACTCATAATTTCAATACATTCAATTAAATTTATATTTGACGTCTTGATTATTCATGTCGGTAGAATCTTACGATTCCACGATTCGATTCTGATAGCCCCTTCCGATTCAAAGTAGAATCCCGATTTTAATAACTTTGAGCTGAACTGAATTGAACTGAACTGAACTGAGCTGAAATGAATGTTTTATGAAAGAGGGAATTTAGGAGCTGAACTGAACTGATTGGAGCTGAATTGAACTGAACTGAACTGATTGAAGATGAATTGAACTGAAATTAAGTAAATGTGAACAGACCCTTATTTATGTGTCTATAGAGAACATAAATTACTATTGATTGGAATTGTAAGAAGTGTGATCCTATATTAATATCCATGAGATTTAGTTATTGTAACTTGTGTGATGTTTTTTAATCATAAATAGTGACATGGAGTAATGGTTGCAATGATAGTGGTGAATGGTGATGTGTCGCAACACTAGTTGTTTCAAGTGAAAACAATGGGTCCTTCAAATATGACCTTTCTTGTGGGCTGAAGACTAAATCTGGCCCAAGTGATTACTGAGATGAGGATTTCCTGCACAGCAAATACACGTAAACTGGCCTTAGGGGTTTTGCCGATCGAGGAAGGCCCCTCTGATGCCGAAATCAGTACAATGTTTAGAGAGAGAATGTTATGCAAGAGAATTAATTGCTTAAGACTTGAAGTGAATGAATGTATAGAGAGAGAGATGAAGGCTTTTATACCTTGCTCAATAGATAAGTGGGTCTTTGGGTCAAATGGACTTGCCATGTTGACCGGACATTTGGCTGACTTGACATGATTTGAGAGGGTTGAACCCTCTGTGGGCTTTTAATTGAATGATTTATGGACTGACTCAATTAATGTAAATTGGACCCAAACACTAGTTAAATAATGACGTGTCAAAGTGATAGTGCAGATTTATGTGGCACATACACATAACGTTTTTAAAATTGTTTTTTTTTTTTTTAAAAAAAAAATATATTAAATATAGATAGGTTAGTGTATAAAATTAACAAAGTAAGTCACACAATTTTATGATAAAATTAATAAAGTGACTAGGATAACAGGTTATGAGGCAATTAGGCAAGTAACTTGTGAGGAAGGAGTAATGAGGATATGTCTGTTTAGCCTGATTATGTCTAAAATTATTTTATCATAACTTATTTTATTTTATCTAAATTTATTTTATACTATAATTTATTTTTATATATTTATTTTATCATATCTTAGGCATTATTCTCTCATCTTATTTTTGCTAAACCAAAATTAGCTTTGTTTAGCTTAATTATATTTAAGCCATGTTCTTTTCCCTTTGTTTTTGCTAAACTGAGTTTTTTCTAGTGAACTTAAATAATTTTTACTAACTTGAACTTATTTTTTCTAAACTAAAATTATTTTAATGATTAAAACTTATTTTTTTTACCGATTTTCTATTATATGTGTTCTTTAAAGTTACTGATTTCTACTAATTAAACCTTAATTTTATTGAACTAAAATTATTTTTGCTAAACTAAATTTAATTTTACTAAACTGAAATTGTTTTTATTGACTATTATTTAAGTTAAGGTGAAGAGATTACGGTCTTACTAAACTTCTCAATTTGGACATTCATATGTGCAGTTAAGGAAGACTATAATTCAACACCTCCTTCACATGTAAGGCCTTTTAATTCAATAACAAACCCTACATATTGTAATTAGTTACCCCATATATTTTGTTAATTACATAACAAGTCAATCCTTATGCAATGAATTCTATTCTCCTGGTATCTATCAGAACTAATTTGAATTTAGTTAAACTTATTTGAGCATAATATATATTTTTTTGTTGTAAATTTAACATGATAAGTAGTAAATTGTTTTAACCATTTACTGAAATAAAAATAAGATGAGCAAAACAAAGTATTAGCTTTACCCGGCCCATTGACATATGGAGTATATGACATTAAAGTAAAGAGAAATAAAGGAGGGGAGGGGGGAGTAGGTGCATCCGTGCAAGGTCAAGTCTAAGAAAAAACTCTCGAGGAAAAAAATTTACAATAAATAAAATGTATATTAAACTATGGAGTACTTTATAAAATATATACGAGTATGATAAGTTGATAACCAATATTTGATAAATGTGAAACTCTGAATAATGAAACGAAGGAAGTATAAAAATAGTAAAAGGGAAGCAAAGAAAAGAAGCAAATACTAGAAGCAAGAAGTAGGTGAGTTGGGCATAGCAAAGTTATTAATACTTGGTTGTTGAAATCATGAAAGATAGCATTGCGGTAGGGGCATGTTTCTATCATCAAAACTATTAGCACAAAACACAGGTCGCTTGTGAACTAGAACTGCATTTGCTTTTCTAACTTCCTCATATGCTTATGTTGCATTTTTGTCAACCATCTCATCCCTTTACAACAATATATATGGAAGCACCAGGCACATAATATGTCAAAATGGAAACAATATGGAAGGGACGACAGCTGTATTAGCGCGTAGTTTTTAGTATAGGCGGGGTGTGCAATTTTGTGAAATTGGACCCTGGAATCATTCTTTTAAAAATATGTTGAGTATAAATGGCTTTTATTAACTAAACTACTACGGAGTACTAAATTATTTCAATTGATTAAAATTGAAGACTAAATCATTTATCAATAAGTTTTATCTTTATACAAGTGACTGGGTTTTAAGCTACAAATTCTAATTATTACTTCCTTTGTGTTTTAACGAGTGTTACACTTTAACCAAATACACATGACGAGACACAACTTTAACCATTAATTTATCCAATTATATGTTTATAAGATTATAAAAAAATTGTTTTTATAAAAGTATACATTATAACGAATCGAACAATGTATTATACAATTTTTTATATGTTAGTAAATTAATCAAGTCAAAACCATTATAAAAATAGTAAAAAAGCCAAATATATCACTTATTAAAACATGAAAGGCATACGCAACATCATTCATATGCTAAATGCCAACTCTTTTATAGGATGGTTGTCAATGTTGTTGTTTATTTGATTTAATTTGGAGGGAGAGAAATCAGAAAAGATGTCAAAATGTGAAAGAAGTCTGCAATAGAGATTATTAGAGATTGCAAAGTACCTTATGTGTTAGATGTTTAAATTTGACTAATTAAGTTAGTAGGTTGTGTTTGATTTGTTTAGTTTGGTTGTTGTCTGCTTTTGCGTGTTAGTGTTTCTATGTAGTTTGATCTGATATTATATTTTTTTTGGTTAGTAATAAAGCACATTTATATATCCCGAAATTAATTGAAGATTTTGTGTCAAAAAAAAAATTAATTAAAGATTTTCGATTTTGTCTTAAATTAAAATACATAAGAATCTATTCTGTTTAGCTTAATTTCAGTTCAGTTCAATTTTTAATTTCCTCCTCTCATAATTAATTCATTTCATCTATTTAGTTCACTTATTTTCAGTAAATCGGAACAAGCCCTAAGTCAATCTTACTGGGACTTTAAGCACTTTAATCATTTGCTTGATCGAGATAAAGCACAATTCCATATTACAACACTACTTTGTATTCTCCAAAGTGATAAGTAGTGGAAATTGAACATAAATAATTAGTCAAACGAATAAAATAATTGGTGACAATAAATTTCAACTACAGTAGTTTTTTTTACAAAATAGAAAGGGGACCTATTACATTTTCCTACCCACATGAGTATGTGAGTTTTTTCATGTCAATTGGCGATGCATATTTCCTTCCATACATAGGATTATAGGAGTATTAAAAACTAAACAATATCATCAATCAAACTTCTATGGCGGTTATAATGCTTCTCCATGAAAACCTTCGATGCGCCTCTAACAGCTTTGCTCCATGTCTACATAGCACAAGCAATTAAAAAAAGATTACAACTCAACATAACCATTAAAACTAAGCTCCTTACCAAAGGTTATTGATCATAAATATTGAAGAAAACAAATTTGAAACCGTCTAATTGTCAACAAAGTATATAATGTCAATAAGCTCCTTACCAAAGGTTATTGATCATAAATATTGAAGAAAACAAATTTGAAACCGTCTAATTGTCAACAAAGTATATAATGTCAATCATAATATCACGAAAGTGATATACTGATATACGTAACAATTGTTGCAATGAAATTAGAAACATTAATAACACAAATCGACAAGTGATTAATCATGAATTTTTAAACTTTTATTATTTTACAAGGTATATTAAGTTGATAGGCTAGCATAAGAGCCTGTTCTCATTGACTGAAATGAGCTGAATTAAATTGAATTGAACTTATTTGAGCTGAACTGAACTGAACTGAACTGAACTTGTTAGAGCTGAACTGAACTGATCTTATTAAGCTTAACTGAACTGAACTGAAATGAAATAAATATTTTATAAAAGAAGGAAATTAGGAGTTGAACTGAACTGAACTTATTAGAGCTGAACTGAACTGAATTAAAAATAATCGTATGACAACAAACCCTAAATCATATGCATACAATATATATGATAATCATATAATTCACAAGTCATATATAGTACTATAGTATTTGCCAAAATAAAAAAAAATAAAAAAAAAAAATAAAAATCACGAGTGTCACATACAATATTCCAAACAAAAAATTGAATTTGACTAAGCATATGACAAGATTACATTAATGAAATAAAAATAAAAACAAAGAAAAAGAGAAAAAGGGTATAAGAGAAGTGACATGTAAATGTAGTGATATGAAATGAAGTAAAGTGATGATTTCACACGAGAAGTAAGAAGTGTAAGATTTTGTGCAAGTCAGATTATATAGCTAAATACTCCTATCAATGTCACATGAAAAGCCTCAGCACTTTCATAAGATGTACAAAATGTGTACTTTGTTTGACTCTTATTTTCATTAATTGTCACATAAAGTTGAAGAAAAAGATGCGAATATAAAATAATGTATGCTCCTATTTTCATTCAATTATTGTCTTTAAAATTCTCATATCAGCTTATATTATCTTAGGGTGGTTATATGTCTTATTGTTTAATAATGCTACACAAGCTTGCAATTTGCACCCTATGTTTTTGACTTATCTCATACTTTTTAGGTGATAAAATCTCTCATGCATGTACGATAAATTAAGGCATGCATTATACATACCATAAATTGAAGTTTATTCAAATGTATTTTAGTATAGGTTAGTATGAATAGCACGAGTGTGCGATTTAGGACTTTTATTGATCTTTCTTAAATTTACCTAAATTTTTAAAGCTTTGAAATCCATCATGGGCGAACCCACTAAGGAACAAGGGACTTTCGAAAAAAAAAAGAGGAAAAAAATTTCAGTATAAGAAAAACTGGAAAAATAGTTAAATACAATTATATTGAGTGTAAGAAATAAATAAGAAGTTTGTCTTAGCTAAGTTGGTAGTGGGCTAGAAACATTATGACAAGAGGCCCAATATGACATTCACCTACTTGAGGGGTTTGAATCCCCCTTGTAACATTACTCCTTTTTTTTTTTTTTTCTTTTTAATTTTTAATTTTTAACTTTTATATTTTTTATTTCAACCAAACCACTTGACTACTCCCTTATTCCTATTTCCCAACCACGAAGGCACAAACCACCACCCACGCGGCCACGAGTCCCGGACTGCAGCCACTACCGACGGCGACTACCGTGCCACCGCCCCACCAAGTAGTTTTCCCTCTTGTTTTTCATATTTTTAAAACCCAATTTTACAAAGTTTAAGTAATGTTTTTTTTTTTTGTGAATTCATCAATTATCAATGTTCAATGGTTGTGAATTAGAGAGTTATTTGGTTAATCAGTTTGTGAAATGAATTGTTAGTGAATTGATTTGTGAATTGAATTATTAGAGTGAATTAGGGCCTAATCTAATAGACTGAAATCAGGAGTTATTTGGTTAATCAGTTTGTGAAATGAATTGTTAGTGAACTGATTTGTGAATTGAATTATTAGGGTGAATTAGGGCCTAATCTAATAGACTGAAATCAGCTGAATTGAACTAAACTGAAATGAAATGAATATTTTATAAGAGAAGAAAATTAGGAGCTGAGCTGAACTGAACTGAGCTGAGCTGAACTGAAAATAAACGTATGAGAATAGACCCTTAGTATGGATAATCAATTAATGAATGATTGTTTGGTGACTTTCATTGAGAAAGAAGTGTTTTTACAAGTTCCTGATGAAGATGTCATTGATCGATTTCAAAGAATGAAGACCCGAAGGATATTTTAGTAGTATGTACCCGAATTGTATTTATAACATGGTCTTTGGGATTAAATATGTACTCGACTTTTTTAAATTGTTTACCTGAACTTTTTTTTTTTTTATAAATTTAATTATCTAAATTGTCCCCCACCGTCAAATTCCTAGGTTCGCCACTGAAATCCATAAGAAGTAATAATGTAGTTGAGTATGAATAGCAGGAGTGTGTTATTTAGGATTATTATCATTGAACATTTTTGAATTTATCTAAATTTATATATAAAGCTTAATGGAATTCATAGGATTCATAAGTAGTAACGACAATTTTCATTCTACAATATTCTAAGACGATTTTTTTTTATTTTTTTTTTTATTTTTAACTTGCCATTTTCCCTTTCATATATATATATATTAAAAAGGCGTTCTCATTTAATCCAGTTTTTCAATCCATATAATTAAAAATATGGATATCATAAGATTTGAACACACAGTCTTAAGTTTAATCTCTAACACGTAAGTCACTAACCTATTACCTTATTACATGTCATTCAATCGAAATTAAATATGAATAATGGTTTTTATCATGAAAATAATGTAGTGACTCGGCACATCGCTCATATATACTTAAAAACTACTTCGAATGATAAAATAGAGGTAGTATGTATATGTCAATGTAAAGCACATTATAGTATTATACTAACTTCACTTAAAAGTATTGAGTAAGGATTATAATGTGTATAATAATTACAGTATTTGATAATGCATAAACTTTAGGCTAATACTTTGTATCCCAATGCTTAATTGTTACCGTGCTATTTAAATAGATATCAATTGACTATAAACTTTAGGCTACCATTCTTTCTCCTTTTGCCAACTTATTGTCAAGTTAATTTCCCGTTCAAAATACAATGGCTCATACAATTAGAGTGAAGATAACCAAATTAGCCAGCTAACTTAATATTTCAAGTATTTTCGTTTATAGTAAATTGTATCCCAATGGTGGTTAACTACTAATGAACTTGTTACTCATTCATCAATGTTGATGCCTATATTCTTTCTTTCTTTTTTTGCCAACTTTACGGGCCTGTTGTCATTGACTGAACTGAGCTGAACTGAACTGTGCTGAAATGAACTGAACTGAATTGAAATGAATATTTTATAAGAGAAGGAAATTAGGAGCTGGACTGAACTGAACTGAGCTGAGCTGAACTGAACCGAACCGAATTTCAACGTAAGAGAACAAGCCCTACGTCAAACTGATTTTTAAACTTGTTACTCATTCATCAATGATCAAGCTTTAAGCTTGAAATTTTTAAATTTACAAGCAATTCAAAAAAAGTTACAACTTAACCATTAGAAATGCTCTTAATGCTTAAGTCAAACAATAAATTCTTGTAAAAATTTTATCAGATTGATAATCAATTAATAAGACTTTAGATTCTACTTATTGCAAAAAAAAAAAGTTGGCCTAATTCAAGTCAAACCCTTCGAGTCAAGCCCAAGATTGAGCCAAGAAAGTAATTATCCGCTATTTTTGAGCCAAAATAAAATTAAAAACTAGTATTAATTTCAAGTTGTGCAAACCCCAAAAAATAAAAAATATGCCCAAACTCTGATAAGTTTCGAGTCAGGCCAGGCTAATTATGATCAGATTCAACTACCAAAGCACACTGTAGTATTTCCTTTAGATCTTTAAAGTCCAATGATGTGAGAAATCTGGTTGACATATATAGATGTAATATATGTACACGTCGATCTAGCTAAAACTTGGTTAGAGTTTGGGGTAGTGAGTTTGGACTCCGATTTAGCTCAAAGCTCATTGAGTCTAGAAAATTGAGCTCAAGAAAGGCGAGCTCAACTCGAGCAAGCCTCAGCTTTGAATTTGGGCTAAGGCTTTAATACAGCTCACAAACATGTTCAACTAGTTAACACACCTAAATGTATAGATCTATATTCTAGAATCATATACAAGTATTTGTGTATAAAAATTGAATTGGTGTTAAAATTTAAGCTAGCTTTCACATCACTAAACTCTATTTCTGGCATTGAGGGGTGTAGGCACTATGTTGCCGGGTTGTTGGTGAGAAATCATCTTTTGCAGACAACCAAATTAAAAGAGTACTACAATAGTGCACCTAAATGTGCCCAATTTTTATTGTGCCAATCACAACCACTCTACCGAGAGATTTGCAAAATCTATACTTTATCTTAAAAATTAATTGAAGACTTTCATTATTTTATGCATTTAAAAATACGAATTTTATAAGATTGACCCACAACCTAAAGTACTATAGCTAGGCTAGTAATCATTACGCTATTACTATATAATATATGAAATTCTTTTAAATAAAATTATATATAAATAAAGATTTACATTATAAAATTAATGCAGTAATTCTAGACATGGTACAGACCTAAATACTAGTTTCATCCTAAATTTTGTCAATAATAAATCATGAAACATATGAAAAAGTTGTTCTTTATTATCTTCTATATTAATGTTATCACAACTTTTATGGGAAATTCTCCGTTTCTCATATTGAGAAACTAAATTTATTTCTTATAGAGGTATTTTCGTGAATAAATTAACAAACTTTTTTTATTATGGGCTTTACAATTGAATAAAGTTAAATAAAGTTGCTGATTTATTTACCAAAATGTCATTTTATTTCTCGCTAATCGCTATGAGAAATTGGGGCATTCCCAACTTTAATAGTTTTACTATCGCACAATATGTTATATGTACGTGTCAACTAGCTTAATTAATTGATAAAAGTTTCGGGGGCAGCCTCTTATACCTATGATCTTTACATTATGATATCACTCCCAACTTGCATATGCGTAGTATATAGTTGTATATTACCCATACCCAAAAAAACAAAACATGCGTAATGTTTTAATCACCTAGAATCAACATTTTTCAAATTAACATGTATAACATAAATTTCATGTGATAACAATTTAACAAACGTGATTCAGTGATTATATTTTAGATGCAATCAAATTTAATTGAGTAAATTAAACAAGGAACATGCAGAGTAATTAATAAAAAAAGAGTTGATTGAAATTAACAGAGTAATTACCTTCTCAATAGCAGAAAGAACACACTTGGTCCTAAAATCTCTAGCCCCTCTAAAACGATGAGCCCTTAAATGCTTAACAATGAAGTTCCCCGAAGAAGACGACGAAGAAGAACGCCGAGTCTTATAATGTTGAGGAAGAAGAGACTTCCTTTCCACCACTCTCAGACTAGCATTACTTCCAACATTTAATGGACTCATCAGTATACACGTCTCCCAATCATTCTCATCACCATAAACAACCTTCCTCTTCTTCTGAGTCGTCCTCCGCTTACGAGGCGGGGAGGAGGGATGATCGTAGTCGGAATCGGAATCGATTTCGGCGAATTTACGGAGGAGTTGATCAGAGACATGTTGAACTAGTTGAGGAGATTCCATTGTTTTATTAAAAATAAAGGTGGTGAGAGAAGTGAAGTGAGTTTGGGTTTAATGGGTGCGAGAAAGGGACCGTTGAGGGTGGGCGAATGATTGGATCTGGTGCGGAGGGTTGGGACAAGGGTGCGCGTGCGTGGGGGCGGGAACAATATAGCCGTTACTTCTGAGCGTCATGTGCTATTAAAATTAGAATCAATTTTTTTAATTATGAAATGGGAGTGTTTGTTTGTTTGTTGAGTATGTGTTGTACTTCTAATTATGTAATTTTTGAATTGGGTTTGGGGCTTTGGGTGTGGTAGCACTAACACATGGGAATATGGGATGATGGGAATATTCTTCTATTATTGGTTACCCTTTCTTATTTGGAAAATTTATAAATATTAAGTCAATCTTTTGGCCGTCCGCTTTTATTACGTCAACCTTTTGATTATTTCTGAACACGTCAACCTTGTAGTAGCATTAATTTTTATTACGTTAAAATAAAAAATGACTTGCAAAAACAGGTTAATTGCTTGCATGGAGGTAAAAAAAGGCTAATTTTTTCAATTTTCCCATTTTTTATCCTACTTTCTATTCCATCTTTTTCCATCCTTCTTCTTTGTTCTTCTTCCCCATATTTCCTCTTTCAATTCTTACTTCATCTTCTCCACTCTTCCTCTTCATTCCCAAGAACTTTAACTCTTCAATTGTTTAATTCTTGTATTTGTTGTCGCCGGTCAGAAATTTACAAGAACCATATATAGTCAAACTAGTTTAAAGGTAGAGAATTACTTTGATCACAAAACCTCTTAATTTATATGTACAAATAGTGTTTGTATTTGATGTTAATCCCCTTATATCAATATGAATAGACAATCCACATACTTAAAATTGCTCCAAAGTGAATGCTATTGAAGTAATTTAATTGAGAGTATTAGAGTGTGATTCAAAGAGGATTATGGAAAAAGAGATGGTGGGGTGGTCGTGGGGTGGCTGAGGTGGTTTTTAGGCAACGATGGAGGGGTTTGCTAGTGTGAGCGTGAGCGGATATGAGTGAGCAGCGATGATGGTGGGTCGTGGGTTTGAATAGGAAGAGGAAGGAATAGTGGAGTATGTAAGTTTAATGGAGTTGAAAAATGAAGATTAAAGGAAGTGTGGATAATAAGGGAGATCGTTAGTTTGGATAAGACTATAAGAGTACGAGTATAGTTAATTAGTTGGCATTATTAAATGCTAACTTTTATTTTTTTTGGTTTAAAAATGTTAATTCATTTTTTTATATCAAATTTTAGAAATTATTAAGGGCTTATCCGGTCACCGGTAAAAAAACGTAATAAAAATTAATGCTATTACAAGGTTGACGTGTTTAGAATTGACCAAAAGGTTGACATAATAAAAGCAGATGGCCAAAAGGTTGACTTAATATTTACAAATTTTCCTTCTTATTTTGCATAAAGAGTGAATGTCGAAATGAATGTTCATACAAATTAAAGAGTAAATCAATATATACTTCCTCCTAGAGTTGTGAATGGATAAGATCGTGTAGACGTGTCATGTTCGTGTGTCTCATGTTCAAACATATTGTTTCTAAAACAAGATAAGAAAAAAGTCATGTTGTATTGTGTTGGGCTCGTGTCAACTTTTATAAATGAACTTCATGAACAATGAAAATATTTTTTGTGAGAGTGAGGGATAGCTTAAGTGCTTAAAGCTTCCCTTCCAATTCTAAGAGATCTTGGGATCGATTCTCACCACCCACCCTTGTGGCTCTCTAAACACTAAAAAATAATAATTTTTGTAGACCGTGTGTAGTTTCATAATGTCATCAATATTTTTTTTTTCCTCAATGTGTAGTTTTATAATATCACTCTATATAATTTTTGTTTATATGCGACTAGAAATATTGATGGTAAATGATACATCTTAAAAAACATGTAAAAATAAAATACAATCACTATTATGGGACGAAAATGACTATAAAAATTTGATGTATTTAAAAAATTTATATCAAAACAAAATAAAACCTCACATAAATATATTTTTCTTTACTTATAGATAGATTACAAAAAATGATAAAAATAAATCTATAAATAAATAGTGTAAAGTTTCAAACATTAAGATTAGATTAGATTAAAAAAAAAAAAAAAAACTCTTGATATGTATTATATGCACACCGAATGACCGAAACAAGATAAAGCCAGCAACACCAAAACACATACATTGTAATAAGCAACACGACTTATAAAATTAGTTTCATTTTCCATTAATTATTATTTTATTTTTTTTGGAAAAAAGGATAGTTAATTAGTTTACAACCATGCAACAACTGATAGTAAGACAAAAATACTCTCTCTGTTTTTTTAAATGCATCAGTAAAAAAGGAGTTCAAATCGTAGAATGAAAATGAATTCAATTCTTATTTTGATTTTTTTTTTCATTAATTATTATGTATAGAGCACGGTAAATAAGCACAATATTTGTTTTTTTTTTTTTTTTTGGAATTTATTGAAACTTATACTTCGTATAATCTCATTTAATTTATTGGAAATTATTAAACCTTATCGAACTCATTATAACTTTATGCAACATTTTTTGAGAGAATAATAATTATTTAAAATTGATTATTCATTAATTAATATTTTACAAAATAGGTAAAATATTCCATTTAAATTTTAGATGCAATACCTTGCTATTTTTTTTAAAAAAAAAACATATATACATTTTTCAGTACACGGATTTCATAATTTTCCATTATTGTTTTTTGACATTTCAATCAAAATTATTGTTCTTTTTATATTGAATAAATATTGTAAATATCAAAATTGCAACACCACTTTTTGATCAACCTTAAGTAAACCAACACTAGAATATGTCACGTATAATTCACATGTTGTATTGAAATCCAAGTCCAATGAATTATTGCAATATTGTCGACAGGGTATTCGTTTAATCCGTAATATATATTATCCTCCAATTTACTATAAAATTTGTAAAAAAAATAAAAACGTATTTTATATATGTTTTTTTTGTTGTTCCACCCAGTTCACCATTTGGACTTATCCGAATTCGGGATTAGTTCTGGGTGGTTAGGTTCCAATCCCCTCCCGATTGTTGTAAAAACGTACTTTATATATGTGTTAGTTTGTTATGTGTAGATTAATCACATGTTTCAAATATAACACATACATTAATCAATTTGTTCAATGTGTTATTAATTCTCAATATTAATTTCACAAAATAATTTTACTTGTTGGTTAAGATGCATAATGTATATAAATAATTTGGATATAAACTAAAACTTAAACGTGCGAATAGCTAAAAACTGTGAAGTAATCTGAAATGGAAACCCTAAAACAAAAGCTCAAGTCTTTTTCCCACGCAATTTAGGGTCACTTATCAGGTGGTTTTATAGCCTTTATTTGTCTGTATTGATATGCTAATGTGTGCTAAAATGGTTTGTTACAATATAGATATTTAAGTAGTAGGCAATATTTATGACAAATGGGTGAGTAGCAACCCATTATACCTTATATCAATGGCAAGTATCCTTTTGGAAAATTTGCAAATTACAGCCATTTAAAGTTCGTATTTTGCAAATTACAGCCATTTAATTTTTTTTTTTTGCAAATTGCAGTCTAAAATTTCGTATAAGTTGTAAATTGCAGCCCAATTCAACTTTTACATCGATTTACATATCGAAAGATCTTCGATTAAGGTTTTAGGGGTCATTTTAGTTCTTAAGAGACCGAATTGAGCTCGATAAGTGCCTCGTTTTGCTTAACAAAAATATATCGATTTGTGGGAAACTGTAAGAATGAGACACTTGCGTCATTTTTTTGCTAATTCCAAGCTCAATTCGGTTCCTTAAGGCCTAAAATGGCCCCTAAAACCTTAAACGAAGATTTTTCGACATGTAAACCGATGAAAAGGTTGAATTGGGCTGCAATTTACAATTTATACAAACTTTTGGGCTGCAGTTTGCAAAACAAAATTAAATGATTGCAATTTGCAAAATACGAACTTTAAATGGCAGCAATTTGCAAATTTTCATATCCTTTTTATTATTATTATTATTTTAACAAAGGTTAAAAGAGAAATATCTATTACATATTACTACTAAAGCAAATTAAATAGACGACATCCTCTCTTGCAATTTGGTGAGCCCTGTGAACCTGCCGTATGTCTGTAAATACTGCAGTGTTGAAAAGTGGACCCTAAAAGCTGAATCTATTACACAACCATAAGTAACGAACATCCCCACATCCATCATGCATCACATAGAAGAGTGACTAGATTATAAAAATCCGTAAATATTAAAAGCGATTGAATGTCTGCATTAAAAGCCCTTTGCAAGGCATACAAACAGGCTAAGGCTTCTGGATGAAGAGGTGAAGTGCAAAACCCAAAATTACTCCCACCAATAATCCTCTCATCCAGAGGTTCTGTATGATCGAGACACCAACTCATTCCTACTCGTCGTGCGTCTTTGAAGCACGATCCGTCGATATAAATCTTAATTAAGATAGATCCTGTATGATTTTGCCCTAATGAGCTACATAAAACCCAGGCGGGGACAAACCAGTGAGAATATTAGAAGAGGAAGAAATCTCTATACCTGTAACCTCATCCATAAAGATAGTATGAGACTGTAGGATATCCAATAGTTGCAGTCCAATTGGTACTGTAACAGGCGTACCAGGTTTGCCCTGTTATTCCTAATAAATAACCAAAGACCCCCACAAAGTACCAACGAAGGTGCTAATATTGGGACTCAAAATCCCGTCTCGACTAATGAAAAGTCAGATATAATTTTGGATCAAATCCGAAAGAGAATAGCCAGGTGCCCATGTACTTTTGATGCTCAAAGCGCCATCCCTCAATGCTGCTTTGCAATAGTGCAAGCAATCCCTAAACAAATGGTTAAAATCTTCTAACTGCATACGACAATGATCACATGACATATCCCGCATTGAAAACCCCTGTGATGAAATATAATAAATTATTCTACTTAGCTTATTTTTGGAAGTACATTGTAGTATTGTACAGTTATTTATTTTTTATTAATAAAAAGACATACGATATCTACATTGTATAGTTTATTGGGTACAACTCATTTATGTATATAATCACAGTGTATACTATCAATTGTAGTTTTAATAATTTTTTGCCTTATTATTTTGATCTTTATTATATGCATTCCATTTGTTTATTACACATGAGTTGCCTCATTTTAATATTATAATATCACAAATTTTATGAAAAAAATTGCAACTGCCAAGCACCGGCTTTAATCTAATAAGACAAATTTAAGTGACAAAAAATATTTGTCCACAAAATCTTCACTTATAATGTGCAAGTGTGCAACAAAATACCCTTACCTAGCTCTAAATATTATTTATCATCGAAATTAAAATTAGTGTGTAGTTCAAATGATGCTCCTTGTATTTTACACATGAAATGTTCTTTTTTCTTTTGGCTATACATATGAAGAAGCACATTCTTTGTCTTGCATGTTCTGATTTGAACTTGCTATTAATTACTACTTTAATAGAAATAAAAACTATATTCTATGATAAATATAAAGTAAAGGCATAATTATTCGAGATTATTGAGTCATAAGAGTTATTTTGTCTCAAAACTTAAGCTGTCATTAAGGAAATTTGCATATAAGTGAAAACCTAACTGCACATTTGGTGAACAGTTATAAATCATGAAAATGTTAAATCTGTGCAAATATGTGAATTAAGTTGTACAGTATATCATTACCATATGGTATGTGAGGTCATCTCTAAGCCCTCATGTTCCTCATAAAATTTTCCCATTACCATTTGTAAGGTGGTATTGATGAGTGGTAATCGATCGGAGATTCATGAAGAATATTCACTTGTATGTGGATGAAGTTTCATTACCATGATATCCAACTTATATCAGTGAAGTAGGAAAACATAGCTAATGAATATTTGAAATGGTTAGATGCAATGTCTAAATCATATTTTATTTCTAAATAGTAAAACAATTTCTGTCATGTGCTAACATGTCCAAATGATATGATATATGATGTTAATGTTTTAGTGTAAGGTCACACGTGACACATATATTAGTAATCATTTTTTAATTCATTTTTTTTATACCAATTAGTATACTTGCCAACGGGGTGCAGTTGGAAAGTTGGCAATGGAAAATCCAGTCTTGTAGGGGTTGGATAGTTAATTTCTTTATTCATCCTCAAACTCTCACCTGGGATAAAGTTCAACAGTGTTTTCAATCCGCAAATGCTTCCACAATCCTTGCTATGGAATCTCCTGCTATACAGGAGGACTTTCGCCTTTGGGTGTGTACTACTTCGGGGAATTATATGGTTAAGACGGGTTACACAACGCTCATACAACCGCTTAGTCCTTTTTGGAAAATCTTTTGGTCCCTTCATTTACTTCCAAAGTGGAAACTATTCTTATGAAAGTTATTCCATAACAGTTTATCGGTCAAAGGAATTTTTTAATGATAGCCTGATATATGTCCAAAATAATCAATGTATAGTAATAGGTAATAGATTTTTTGAAGGAAAAAAAAAGTTATAAGTTGATAAATTTATAATTTTCTTAAAAAAAAAAAATATAGTGGTAAATTTTAAAAATACTCAAGTAAATAGAACACGAAAAAAACAATTATTATAAAGATAATATTTAAGATTACGAATGACATTATAATTGTATTATACAAGTATTCTCAAAATAAAAGATTTTTGCTAAACAGGGAGGGAAGTTTTAGAGAGAACCAAAAAGTAACACGTGTCATTTTTTATGTCTGTTTTAATATTATGTTATTGATTGACAATCAACCCCTTTTTTAAGTTAAATCCTCATTTAAAGAGAAGAAATAATGCACAAGAAAGGCTCACATAATGATGACAAAACAAAAAAAAAATGCAATAAAAATAACATAAGACTAAGGTACTTAGAGCAATGCTACAACACAAGATTACCTACGACTACAGGTATACATAGACTAGGGAGTACATACAAAACGCGAGCACTAGTCAAAAAAGGCTATAAATCTATAATATAACCACCACCAAAGGATGGCTTTATCACGGTGTTGCTTAGGCTACTTGTTTTTCTTATGAAGAGATAGGACCAATATCCTTTAACTTAAGCTAGCAAACATGATTCAGAATTCCAGAGGAAGCATATATATTTGATATTGTAGTAGACGATTCGGAGTTCAGCATAATAGGTTCGAATTTTTCCATAGGATGGCTAAAAAAAATAAGCTACCACAAGTCCACAACCTCCAAACTGAGTAAAGTTCCAGAAAATGCCCTGCTAGGTTGAGAAATAACTTTTGACCTGCCCTGACAGAAAAATGTCTGCATTTTTTAGGTTTGATATCTTTACATAAATGAAATTGCATAGAATATAGTGTTTAGGGCACAAAAGCCAAGATGATACAAAGGATAACATAAATAAGATGATGCGAGAAACTCCCAAGAGAAATTTATTGATGCTGGGATTGAAATTTTGCACAAGAGTGGTTGACAGTACAGAAAGCGGTCATTGAAACAGCTTATAGAATTTAAGAAAGCAAGACACTCCAGCAATTTCTTTCTCTGTCCTTTGAATAACATTTAGATTCAGTGATAAGCAAGTAAAATATTCAATAAGTGTGTTGCTTTAAAACAGACAGATAAATAACGATTAGGTGACGGTCGTATGAGTTATGAATAAAGCAACATTGATTTATTGGCACTGTATTCTTCACATCATTCAACAAGGCAACTTTGTGTTGTGGGACGCTTGGTAAATGTTAAAATTCTCCATGCATAATAACTTTGCGTTGTGAGAGGCTTAGTAATTGTTAAAGCTCTAAAAATTTATTAGGGTTTCAATGGATCAAGGATTTCAATGGATCAAGGATTCAAGTAACATCTCATTTGCTGAATCCTACTAGACAATTCTACCATTGAAAGCAAGTTCCTTTCTAAAATTTGACAGTTTTTTCCAGATAGTGGCCTAATGGAAGTTATAACGCATGGCCTAGTACATTTTGACGAGTACACAAGCAGAATTTTAAGACAAAATTCAAACTACTAAGATGCCTATGATAAGTTTCAATCATATAATATGTGCAGGTCTCCAAAATCAGCCGACATTAAATACAGAACCATGAAAATTGACAACAGAAATTTTGATTCTTAACTTTTTTGAGGCCCATATTTTATTTTCTATGAGACAATACCTAATAAGGGGTAAAGTGTCCAGATCAATCACCCTCGAGAGCTTAATGCCTGTACAACGAGGGAAGGCCAGAAAGCCCAAGATATGACTGGGAGTTCAGGCAAAGAAGATTAAGTCTTACCACGAGCTAAAAAGACATAACAAAATACAAAAACATGCGGATGTACCTGAAATCCATGATGACAATTAAAAGCTGAACTGAGTCCCAAAACTCAAAGCATGGCACTCCAGATTTCTCAAATTAAGCTGCCAAAAAAGAAAAAGGCATTACTGCTGCAACACTTGTAAAGAGAATGCCATATACATTCTAGAACAATTACGCAGTACATATATATATATATATCCTAATACGGGTATTGCAGCATGTAATAACGCTTACCACAACTGCAACTCCTGTCTCGCAAAATTTAGGAATAGTAATTAGTTGTGTCAATTGCCCTTCTGGTCCTGTGTGCAAATGAATGAGTAAGCTATCTTACTCTTCGTATATAGGAGTGTTGAATGACAAATACTTCAAAAGTTCAGGTAATATTAAAAGGAGGACACAATTAAAGGATTACCTTTAACTAAACGGCTTCCAAACATATCCTGATTGCCGACAAAGTAAACACGAGGACAACTCTCAATTACAAAAGGATCCCTGTCTGTAAATGGATAACACCCTAAAAATTCCACAGAAAAAATTGTTTATCAAGATATTTGGAAGGAAAGGGCCAATTAGAAATCCAACAGTAAAACAGCTTAGTTACAGTTGAAACTATTTCATCCCCAGAATAAAAATAACATCCATCTATGCTAATAATTTATTATAACAGGAAAATTTGGAAGAAATTTAGAGTTAATGTGTCTTCAATTTGTCTTTCCTTTTTTTTTTTTATTTTTTTTTTTTATTTTTTATTTTTTTTTTATTACAATAGGTTATTTTGTTTCAAACTTCATGCTTCTTCAACTTGAATAGTTATCATGCCCCTTCAAATCTTCAATGTCATCAATGCGAATAGTTATTATTTCACTTCATCTTTCAATTTCATACAATAAACATATCCCTTAATATCATTCTCTATACATTCAATAATTTACTATCGCAAAGATTCCCATATTATATATCTATGCACGAAATGTAAATTTTTTAAAAATTCAAATATTATAACTTATTTACCAATTTCGACAAGTCTTTTAAAGCACAAAACGAAATATAGATACTCATCTGGTCATTTTATGAAGCTATAGGAAAACAATTTACTTTCTACAAAACAAAAATTGTACATTGCACAGGGTCAAAACTAGTTTGATTTCCATAATCGAATTGCCTATGATTGTAAGCATACTACTAGTAGTTGCTGTTAATTTTAGTTGTCTGCTACTCTATTCAGATTTCAGACTTTTCACAAACCATTGCTTGGTTCCTACCCCCCCCCCCCCCCAAGCACAGATAACTTTCAATGAAAAAAGAAGATAAAAAAAAAATAGAACTACTTTCACCTAGAGTGTTAGGTGCAGATGGCGCAAGATGCCTCCATCTCAATGTTCTTTCCAAGAAATCAAGTTTATCTTTAGCTTCTGAATACTTATCAAGATCGTCAATATTCTGCCCTGATGTCCCAAGAAATCTACAAGATGAAGCCCACTCAGTACACATCCAATTCAGAAACAGATGAAAATGAACAGTAGGCCAAATATTACCTGATATTGTCAAGCTCAAAAGAATGAGGATTAGTACAAGATCTGAAGGTGTTATAAGCTGAAGACCCAGGAAAGAGGCATCTATTTAAAGGCTGAAACAAAAAGTCAAGATAAATTCAAAGGCTATCAAAAGTTGCAATAGCCCTAAAATCAAACTCATATTTAGAGAAAACACCTGCTGTGGTAGATAAAAATTTGCAGGATCATTTGGCCCTGGCATGATATCCAGAGGTACACCAGCAGCAATCTGCAAATAAAAATTACAGGCCACGTTAACCTCAGCATTCTCCATAAAAGAATAGGAAATAAGAAACAAAACAAATTCACTCACTGAGCAGATGTAAGAACCTGAGTTAGCAAGATATCCAGTTCTCTAAATGGTTCAGACAGCTTAGCTTGATCCTTTGATCCCAAGTTCTGCAGAAACAAACAAAATCTAAAAGGTCCTTTCAAGAATACGTGTTCAAGTGTTTAACCTCCCCCCACAAGCATCGTAACAAGAACGAATAAATTAAACAAAAACAATAGCTACCTATTATTATAAAGTCACAGAAAATTCAGTCATGAAGAGAAACATAATCATCAGAAATAGGAGAGAAAACATTCAAAACAATAGATACTATTATATCAATAACATAAATTTCACAGTAAACAAGGGAAACTTAATTACCAGAGATAAGTGCCATTTGAATGTGCTAGTAAAACTTAATATCAGGAAATTTAATCATTGTGGCTAGTATATAATTTTTCCTGAGGAGAATAGAGAATTCTGGGAAGAAAATTTAAGAGTTGTTGAATTTGATTATGATATGATAATTACAGAATATGAAGAAGATATTCAAGCTTTTTAAGAGGCTTGGTTCTCTCCCAAATACAGACTGAAACTAAAAGGGACACTCACATTTTCTCACTCTAATCTCCTCTATATATAGACCCGTAATTCCCTTCTCCCTCCCTCTTTTCCATCCCCTTCTTCCTCCTTAAGCTACCTCATAACAGAATTACAGCCATTACCTCATATACCCCTCCACTATACCTAATGCATAACAAAAAGATGATCTTCATAACGACCCCTGATCTAATATATATGACAACTAGTATGGAAAGAAGGTACAAGCTAAAATAGAAGAAAGCAACAAGCTAATTCGTATTAAGCACTGCATAAACCTTAGTCACAAACACCTAAGTTGTAAAGTTGGACTAACATGTTACTGACTTTCTTCCTCCGTTCTTTTTAAGCTGACGCATTTCTTTTATCTTAATTGCCAACGCACTAGTTCAACAATTAATATCGCTAATTATCAATAAGTTAAAAAGTAAAATTTGAAAATTAGATATTGATCCCATGTGACTATTTTATCATAACTACTGTATAAATCACAGAAGCTAGTCAAAGATGAATTTGTCTATTGATTCAAAAGTCAACATGTGTCAACTAAAAAAGAACGGAGGAAGTATTACTTATTTCCAGAACCCATAGAGATGCCAAATATTACCAAAAATGTAAAAGCAAAAACCAACAGAGTAAACTAACCATGATATATAAATTATGAAAATATGAAGCAAAAATTTCACTGATTATTTAATACAAAATAATAAGTTACCTGTCCATTAAATAGTCCTCTGGCAAATTCTACAGAATTTCCAGCAATTACTACATGAACTATCTCTGCAGCAGTTCTCTGCTCCTGCACAGATTTAAAAGCAATGATAAGTTGCGACTCTACAGCAATAGTTGATGCAGGATAAGGTACAAAAGAGTAAGACATTTTCATCCCCTAGATGGCCAGTTATATGATCTACAAGCAGCTGGAACTGGAGAGGATTTGACGTGCTATTTCCAACACTTAAGCCTGACACGAAGACGACATACTTGTCATCACCTGTGAACAGATAAACCCAAGGAGATTCAGAGAGAGAGAGAGAGAGAGAGAGGAGAGAATTTAAATGCAGCAGATACAACATAATTCTCGTGGTATATTATATAGGGGGGCCGTCACTAATGAGTTGCAGGTAAAAAGGCATGAAGTTAAGATGATAACATCTCTGGACATTATGCATCTGTCTAAAACCTTGAACATGAGTCCTAAGGAATGGGAAATGCACAGATAGCCTGAATCTTGAAAAAACAGCAAAGTAAACGCATACATTACTATAACCCATCTTTCTCCTGTAACGTTTACTTCTTTATGGTCATCAAAATCTACCCTAAACCATAGCTTCACCAAAGATTCAACACCCCTTTAAAAGCATTAGGTGATTATAAGAGTAAAATTTTGGATTGTTTGATGAAATAATATAACTAAAAATAGAATATAAAGTCAACAAAAGAAAAAAGAAAAAAGAAAAAAAAAACTCTATGTTCAAGGAACTGAGGATGCATTCCACATTCGCGTTCTTGTACCACATTCTGGAGAAAGTTCTTTGTCCTCATTTCGTGACTGGATTTATCCCTTTGTACAGGAAAATTTTGTCCTTATTATCAACCAATATTTATGGTAGAATAGGTTTGTTGAGTAATTTCCTCAGGAATTTAGAAAGGGCATTAATTATCCTACTTTCTACCGAGGAAAAAAAAAAAGGCTATAGGTTAAAGACTATGCCTATGAATCTCTACTAGTGGAACTATGCAAGATTGATTTGGACCTCATTGCATCAAGTTAAAGTAACAACAGACATTTTAAGGCATTATTTTAAAAGGAAATCGATTATCCCTGGCTTTCTACCAAAAAAAAAAGTCAATATCTTGAAGACTATGCCTATAAATCTCTACTGGTGGAACTACGCAATACTAATTTGGACCTCAATACACCAAGGTTGAATAAAGTAACAAGACAATTTAAGGCATGTGAAGTTGTGAACTGTTTCATGTTAGGGTTCTTGAGTGAGATACATCTTTCTTTATCACATATGTGTATGGTCGACTCTGATTTTAGTTGTATACTTCGTATGTTGTATGACTAACAGTTAGCAAATTTGTTTCTGTTTTCAAAAATAAAAAAGTTGAGAGAGGGGGTACATAGTGTGAGCTATGCTGATTGTTTATATTGCAATATCCTCCAAACCATTGCCTTATATAATACACAGAACCAACCCCCACCCTTCTCTTTCTCAAACCAAAAATATAAATAGCACTTTTCCTAAGTACTATTCCACAAACATCAACAACATGGAACTAAATCCAAGAAAATTATTATTCCTTAGCAACTACAGTGTACATCTAATGAAGGACAAGATGGTCACTCCATAGAGTAACTTCACAAAGCAAAGATTGGAAGAGCATCAAGTGACATTACCAAGCTTTAAAGGCTTCTCAATTTGGGGTGGTAGTCCAGCTTCAAGGATATCGTGAACAAGAAACGACCCAGCTCCACTTTCTTTTCCAAGGAAGGCAACCACAACCCCTGTAAAATGGAAATAGTGCAATACTGTCACGAGAAAATACTTATAGCTATTCATATAAATGCTAAAAGGTTTGGCTTACAAGTGACCTGACATAAAAGATGGTAAAGCGAGAAGGAATAAGATGGAATCATAATTGTATCCAGTGATTAATGTTAGCTGGCATTTCCTATTTTTTATGCAAAGGCCAACAGAAATCCATGTGTTATCTGTTAGTAACATTACTAGTATACAATCCAACCTTTTATTACAATTGCAGCATAGTTGCACTTATCAGTTATAATGATGAGCAGTCATTTCACACCCTAACAGACGAATGATATTAACCATAGATGCATCAAATCGAGAGAAGTATAAAAGAAATGAAACAAGCACTCTATTAGCAATCAAGAAACTGCCTTGTTGATCTTTTGGGGACCAGAGTGAGCACAGGAAGTGTTTAATAGAGAGGGCTAATTTAGATTTTCAATTAATGTAGATTTCATAAATAATGTAAAACAATATAATTTCCAGCATACTCTTTCTAACGTATAACAGATATCAGTTCTTAAAAGCTATTGATATAATCATAAGCCATCCTGCATAATTTCTGCCAAGATATATACATATAAGTATATATAAACAAATTCTGTGAGTAATTTCTTATATATCCCCTTTCAGGCTTTTACTAAAATATGCATCCTCTGGGATTAAAGTCACACCAGAGGAAAGATATATTCTGGCAGACCAGCCAGCTTAATGCTCCTAAATCCTGATATGGAATTTTTGTGTCCAATAACTAATAAATATCCTATACTCTTTCTAACTAGCTGAATTTTTGTCGCTATAGGGAGATCAAAGAATAAATATAAAAAATAAATAAACATAAAGTACCTGTCACATAAACAGAAGGAAACAGTGAAGTTCCCTCAAGCTTCACTCTTCCACTTTCATCCTCTAGGATCAGGTGATCATCAGGATGCATAAAATTGTGCGGCTTGACCAGAGGAGTCACAGACCTCTATATGTTGATAAAGAAAAGAAAGAAAGAACAGGAAAAGGAGAAAAAATTTAGAACAAACCATGTCTCTAGACATTAATTGGATGTTTTAGCAATCAAAGTTAGACAAAAATGATATGTATTTCATAGCAACCTCCTTACCTCCTTAGCATACTCATCAAGAATACAGGGTTTGAGTTTCATGTGCTTGTAGAGTGTTCCAACAACGATACACTCCTTGTTCTCTTCCAAACCCAAAATCGTACAAACTACAACCAAAAAAAAAAAAAAATCCTCAAAGATATAAATGATTCCTCCCCATGTACTTGGGGTTTTGGATTAATTAATGTCTGACTCCAGTTAGACCACAACAATTACCATAACGAAATGATTGTGCACACATAGAAAGCTAGCATCATAAGTCAGCAACAAAATGCAGCAAAAAAACTAATTGGATACACAAAGATAAGACCAAAGTCATTGAACAGCATTTGTAAGATAGTAAGCATGCATTGATCAAATATAACAACATCAAAGAAATCTCTCTTAATACACTGCTAAACAATGACATAAGATAGCAGAAATTAAGCATCCCCACAAGCTTGATCAACTACCTTTCCTCCAAAAATTAGAAAATAACCGATTACGGATTAAAAACACTTTAATGATGTGATCACAACCAGCTGGTAAGGTCACAAGTGCGATAATCAATCCACAATGAGGATCAAAAGGGACACTTGAAAGTCATAACTAATGATCCTAAAATTGTAAACACTCCCGAAACCCTAAACCTTAAACCCTACTTCAAATGAAATTCTTGCCATATACCCAATAAATTTAGACAACCACTACCAAATAACACCAGAAACTTTACTGTTTCTCCAACCTAAAACATAATGAACCCCCTCCCTCACCCCCCCCCCCCAAGGCCCCAACCCACCCACCAAAAAAGATATGGTATAAACCTCAAAATTAGCTAAAATTATTCATAAAATTGAAGTACAATTACAAAACCAGTAAAATTCAATTTAACCCACATGTAAAATAACCCAAATTTTGAATGCATTAAACTCAAATTATAAAAACAAACTGCAAACACCCCCAGATAAATGTAAATGGTATAACCCCAAAAATCAATTAACTTGAAAAATGAACGAATAATAAAACTAAAAATAAGAAATTAAACAAACCCCATATGATAAAATGACCCAAATTCAATGATTTTATACTCAAAAGTCCCAAAAAAGACCAAAAATTGGGAAACAAACCAGGAATGTGGGGTTTCCAGTGAGGAACAAGAGAATAAAGAAGAGTCCTCAACATATGAAGCCTCGCAAAGTAAATTTGACTGTATTGTTGTCCCTTATACACTTCATTTCGTACCATAAACACCTCATCCTGCAAATTATTCCCAGAATACATTAAGAATAATAATAATGTTGGATTAAATTGCGAAATTCATTGAAAAAATAACTACTCGTATAATAATGCTAATAAAGAAGAACTAATTATGGGTTTGAAAAAAGTATGAGATTGAGAAGAGAGAAAGAGACCAAGTTATGGTAGTGAGAATGCTTGCGTTGGAGGATCTGCTCGCCGTCGACTTCCATGGCGGGAAAACAATGAACACTGCGCTTCAATACTCGGACTTCTAAAGTCCAAACGTGGTTTTTAACTTTTAAATGGGTGATTTTTTTGGAAAATTGTTATTATTAATTTCAACTATCAATTATTTTTTAATAATCTCTACTTTAAGGGGCGTTTTCCTATCAAAAAAAAGAAAAAAAAAAAGGGTGTTTTCTTTGATCAGGTCAAAAAAAATGCACAAGATTGACTGCCAATATCTTTTATTATATACTCCGTATATATATATATATATATATATATATATATATATATATATATATATATATATATATATATATATATATATATATATATATATATATATATATATATATATATATATATATATATATAAAGTTTATATTACGAAACTATACATTAAAATAAACCCAACAACATCTTACATATTACGTTGACTTTCATATAATAGCTAAAAAAAATAGTCAAAGTGAGAGGTGTGAATAGTGCAAAACATTAAAACGTTGCGAGTAATTTGGGACGGAGTAACTTGTCTTCAAAAAAAAAAAAAAAATAACTTTTTTTTTTTTTTCCTTAAATGTTAGGCGTCCTAATTTCATTAGTAATAAAAAATAAAATAAAATAAAATAAAATAAACCTGACCACGTTCATCCCACTGCAGCCCCACTACCTCACTCCCTAACGCCCACCGGAAACCACCATCTCCTTCCCCAACCCCACCGAAGTTCCCAGAAACCATTCGCTACCTCACGTACTCTCTTCCCCCGAAACTACTCGCTGCCTCACGTACTCTCTACCCTCGAAACCACTCTTAGCCTCACCCCTTTCGCTGAAAACAACTCGCAAGCAACCATTTCACCCCTACCTTCTCCCGAAACCACCGCAACTCCACTCCCCTTCGCCAAAAACACCAGATCCCCATGCCCACTCCCTCGAAACCACCTCACCCATTCGTTTTCAAGGTGGTTTCGGGTCCAAAACCACCACATCCTTGATATTTGGATGGGTTATAGCTTTCAAGCGGTTGAGAGGGGAGGATGTCAGTTTCGGCAAGGGTAGGGAGAAGCTGGTTTCGGGTGAAGGGTTGGGTTGGGGTACCGGTGAGGTTGGGCCGGTTAGTGTTTTTTTCATTTTTTTTGATTTTATTTTTTAAAACATTGATTTTAATTTTTTTTTATTACTTGGACAAATTATATGTTGACACATGTCCAATAACCTAATATAACATGTCATTGACTTTGTTGATCGGTTTCGGACTGATGAAATAAAATGTCTCCTAAAATTGGGATTATTAAAAAATAATCGATAGTTGATATTAATTAAAGTAAATGGCCCAAAGTTAAGATTAATAATAACAATTTTTCCCTTTTTTTTTTCCGGTTGAAAGTGTAATTTTAGGGGGAGCCCCAATTTATATTTATCTAGGGTACAATCCTAATATATAGGCAAAATTTGCACGCTACTTATTTATGATAAATAATAGGGACTTTTCATATGGTACCACTCAACTTTTGGCTTTTTCATATAATACCCAAATATATTTTTTCTTTCACATTGTGGTATCACCCAAAATTATAGTTAATTAATACATTGACACTCCGTTAATTAAAAAGTTAATTTTTTTTTTTTAACGAAACCGCCTACCAATAAGGCAATAATATTATATACGGAGTATTAGCAATGTCCACCTTGTCAAAAGTACCAAGAGGAAGAACAAATTGAGGGTACTCCATCCAGATTAGTTCCTCATTACATGAAAGGAACAATTTGACAATGGAGCCTGCAACTTTATCACATATTCTTGGACTTAAATTTAAGGAACAAAACTCAAGCTTGCTCCTTCAGGATGTTGTCATTGACAATCAACTGAGTTGCTGTCCTCTCAGTTTATTTGGCTCAATGAGGTTCAGTAAGTGAAAACAGTCAATTAATACTTCTAGCTTGCTAAAATTAAACTAGCATCAATTCCATAGCATAGCCCAAAACTCCAAATAAATTAAAAGAGTTTTAGAGCAAGCCATAGAAGGATTAGGCCTCTTTTGCCCAAAAATGTCGTTAATTACATATGTAAATCTAAAAAATATATTATTCCAGCTTTATGATCGCCGACGTCGTTCATTTCGCCGGAAGATGAATCCTTCGCTTCTTCACTGTGTACTTTCGCAACCTCATACATCACCCCTTTTGATGGAGATGGTGACGTGGCCTATATAGGATGTTTCCGGCGATGAGATAGTGTCTAATGAGTTTTCAGACGAGGGATGGTGAACCGGTGTCGGAATCAACGTCGTTTATTGGAGATGGTGAAGGTGAAGCAATGTAATTAACGGATTGTCACTAATTTAAGGAAATTTTGACATTTGCTACCTCTAAAAACACCATGTTTCACATTTACTACATGTTAAAATAAAATTTACTTTACTACCACCTAAATCAGAGTTTGTTAAAATTTACTACCACACGCCTTATTCTGTTACTGTTTCCGTCAGTGGGGTCCACTCCACCATTTAGCCATCTTCTAGCCACCATTCCATCCCCAAGCACTATTTCATCCCCAGCCACCTCACTAGCTACAACCTTCTAACCACCCTCCATCCCTACTTGCCAGCCCCTCCCTGTCACCCATCCCCCCTCCCCCCTTCCCCATGCCGGCAGACAGCATCCAAAGTTTCGGCCGACGACCCCATCCCATTCCCTTACCCCATCTACACAGCCTTTCCCCCCTCATTTTTGCCCTTCTTGATGCCCCGACCACAACCCCACCACGAACCGAAAATCACTCCATTTCCATTCCCCCCACCGGATCGGCCCCCCCACCATCACCAAATATACACCACGACAACAAAACCATGGAAACTTTCTTGCTGCTACACTAAACACAACTAGGAGTTCATTTTTGACTAATTCAATTGTTTGTAATTTAAGGGATAAAGGTTTAGCTTGAGATAGAATAAAATCAGTAGCTTCATAGTAATTGGGGTTAGGTTGAGTAATGTTAATTTGAAAGTATTCTTGGAATAATTTGGAAATGATTAATGAAAATGAGTTTTGGGTTACTTTGGTTGAGATTAAGAGAAGAGAAGAGAAGAGAGAGAAAATAGAGATTTGATTATATGAAGAAGATGAGTTTTGTTCTTGAGATGAAGAGAAGAGAGAGAAAATAGAGCTTTGGGCAGGTGGTTTTCGGTTCGTGGTGGGGGTTGTGGTCGGGGTGGGGTCGCTGGCGCCGACTGCAGCTTTGGGCGCCGGCCGCCGACAGGGGGAGGGTGGCTGACGGGAGAGGCTGGGTTTTTTTATGGGCGACTGTTTTTTTTAAAATTTTTTATTTATTTATTTATTTTTGAATAAACTTAACAGATTCATAACGGATGCCATAAAGCAGTAGTTGTTTAGGGTAAAAATACCCTAGACACGTGGGCCAATGAGAGGAAGCCACGTGTCGAGCTTAGGATGGCCCATGTGGCCTAACATCCTCTTGACACTTGGCGCCCTCAGATACATCTCTAAAATGGTGGCCTTCAAGGGCCCAAATCCCTAGAAGCGCCGTTTTACGGCGCAACCCACTGAAATTTAGGTCAGGTGACCTAAATAGGGGCACGTTCCCCTAGGACCCTACAAATAGGGAGATATTTCCCCACTTTGGGGACACATTCAATCATTTATTACACTTGCTTTCTCTCACATCAGAGAAATACCTGAGCTTGGAATCCAAGCAGATACCCACTTAAATTTCCGTTCTCTTTATTCCCTTTCAAGTTACTAACTTGATCATCGGAGGCGGAGCTCCAACCACCCGGAGTCTCCGTTATTTTGCAAGTACAGCTCAGCCGGATCAAACTTCGTGACGTAACTCTCCCAAGGGACAAAAACACCCAAAACATTTGGCGCCGTCTGTGGGGAGAGTACCTCGGAGATGGTTCAAGAGTCTGTACCACACCCTAACCGTCTGGGTGATGACCCATAAATCATTACAGACCAGGAGGATGAGGATCCTTAGGTCGAAACCTTTACAGCCGACGATGGCTCGCTCAGAATCAAGCGCATCCGGCCCAAAGACACTATGGAGCGGGGTGCCTCCCAGGCGGGTACAAGTCGACCCCCCTGGGCAGCCGAAAGGGGAAACCCATACGGCCGCTGGATCAGCACCTGTTACCCGAGACGAGCTCATGAGATTCATGACAAATTTCAAGGGTGAAATTAAAGAGCTGATCACCCAAAGCCGGGCTAGCCCAAGTAAAGGTCAGTCGGCCAAGAAGACTCCTCTGGAAAAGGGGAAATCAGTTAGAGAACGGCAGCCCACTCCTCATCCAAAGGAGAAGACAGCCGGGACCATTGATTGGTCGAAAATTCTTCTCCCTAAGAGGAATACCAACAACACCTGCCGGACTCAGCAGCCGGTGGGAAGTAAAAAATCAACTCTTAATGCCCGGGAGATTATCAACCGGAAGAGAAAGCAACAGCTGTCTGAATCGGCTTCTACGTCGAATTTTCCAGACAACTTTAACAATACTTCTGCGGGGAATGCACCTTCCTTGCATGAGAGTCAGACAGGCGGTAATACCGTCCACTCTGGCCCTCAGATGATCGGGGCTGCACCATATGTACCTTCTCAGGTCTATGGTTAGTACCCACCTTACTATATGCAGCCGGCTCTCTTCGGTGGTCAGGCGGCATACCACAATGTCCAGCCACTGGACTGGCAGCTTCGCCTGCTCCGCCTGGGTGAACAACCTTCTGCGTTCACCCGGGAGATAACCGAGGCGGCCCAGCCGGCCAAGGTTAAGAATGTATTGGTTGGTACTTATGATGGTACCACCAATCCGGAAGATCACCTCATGGCTTACACCAACCTCATGTACTTGCAGGGGTTGGATGATGCCACTTGGTGTCGTTGCTTCCCGGCTACATTGAAGGGCATTGCCCAACAATGGTTTGGTAATCTGCCAGCCGGGTCCATTGATAGTTTTAGGAAGCTTGCCTTCCTATTTGCTTCTAACTTCTCAATGAACATCCCTGCTAAGAAAACAAGCTTGGACTTGAGCACCATTAAGCAGGGGGAGAGAGAAGGGATGCGCTCCTATGTCAGGCGGTTCAATCTGATTAAAATTCAGATCCAAGGATGTCTGATGAGGTAGCTTTTACAGACTTTTTCAAAGGTCTGAGAGACGGTTTGACTTTTAAGTTCGACCTAGTCAGAAAAGGGGCTTTCACTTTACAGGCGGCCCTGAGGGAGGCGGAAAGCT